TGCATAGCAGCTTTTAATTCGAATTGTGGTCGTAACACTGACAATCTCCTGATCTGTGTTTCGATCTATTAAGCAGGCGCAAACAAATAAGCAAAAGTAATTCCTGCTGAAAATACTGTGAACTTCCAACTTAAAATGTAATAATCTCACTTACTACTTCCAATTCTTTTCAATTCACCAATTTCCCTCTACAAACAAGTTGTATAAGCACAAAACCCTCGGTAGTTTGGGCTAACGAAGTGAAATACTTGTGCCTTTAATGACGCAATCTTTCAGATATTTTGTGTGTGATATTTTTTTGCTTTCAATCTATCAAGTATGGAACCATGACATTTTCTCTTTTTAATCCTGGTTTAGTTACGATGACCTAGAGATGTTTCTTCCCGTTTTACCCGCATTCTATTTTCTTTTACAAACTACACATTAAACAAAGCAGCCTCAGTTCTAATCCCTTTTTCCTCTCGTTCGCTGCCTCTGTCTTTGTCGCTCGATGCTACCTCTCCTCACCAAATGAGTTCAAACAAACAATCGAGTTTTAACACACACAAACACACACACTCACACCACGTCGACTGCAAGAAAGGGGCTAGACGGGACGTCACGCCTGGAGAGGGTGGTTCGGGAGGGGGAGCTGATACTGATAATGTTGGGAAGAAAGCGTAAAGTGGAGATGCTGCATGCTTGCATAAGTGTCTCTGCGATGTATGTAGGTGACACAGATTTATGAGTGGTGCTTATAGACGGGGTGGAGGGGGATGTCGGTACAACACCAGAAAATAGGATCAATGTGTCTTTTATGTCTGTTCTATTTGTAATCACTGTAGCCTACCTGCTTCATAGAGAGGTAGTAATAGTAGTAGTATTGTGAACGCATTGGACATAGACCGGACCAGCAGCAACACACACAGAGCCAGGGACAGCCGCTGAGAGAGGGATGAGGACACAAAAAAGGAAAGAGAGACAGAGGGGAAGGGAGCAGCTTTCGCGTTGGGCGGCGTGTACAAAGGCTGAGGAGATGTGGCAGGATAGGGCTGATCACGCACGCCTTGGTCTGGATTAATTGTGGTTCGTCTCTCCGGAGAAAGAGGATCGATAACTTGCCGTAAGAGTGCTGCTTGGGTGTGTTTTCTTTTTGCACTTGTTTGCATGTGCACATCAGTACAGCATTGTCCATGTGCCAAGCTAAATCTGCTCTAGCTAATGGTGAGCCGACGCTGGCTGACTGGGCCAGGTAACAAAGCGAATCACTCCACGTCCTCCCGTATCTGTGCCGTGTTTATGAATCGTGGTACACTTTACTTTTTACAAACTGCCACCTCATTTTGCCTGCAGCTCTGAGTTTCATTTTCCTCTTTGTCTGACGCTGAGGAGACAAACTGGCTGAAACTGGGACAGAGGAAAGTATCAGAAACAAAGCTTGTGTTTGTGTCATTGTGTGTGGCATGTTCCTCTGCATGTGTGTGCACCTGGACACGGTTACATGTCCTGGTGGTTGCGGACAAAGATGTATATGCATTTTGGAGATGTTGATCGCGGTTGAACTCGACTCAGCCTTTGCCTCTGCAGCATTAGGCTGTGACATTTATTCTGTCTGGGGAAGAGTAAATCAGTGCGGCTCCCTGAAGGCTGAACATCTTTGTGGTGAGGCTGATTGCATAATCCTGAGCTCACACGGCCTGTAGGAAATATAAGACGACAGTGTCGTCTGCTGCCCCAGGCACAGCTGTGTGTCACCACCAAATACATGTGTCTGAACTCGGTGACCGCCGCAGCTTACCACACACAAGCGGTAGCACCTCCTCACCCAAAATCTAAATGATAAACTGTACATTACATTTTAGGATTTGAGCAAGGCTTGGGCGCCCTGTGTCTGCCAGCAGGGGGCATGCTTTTGATCGCGTCCTCCTCAGATGTGCTCTGAAGAATATGCACTGACAACGATAGAAGAGAAGACATTCGAAGAGTCCTAAAAATGAAAGGCGGACGAACGGAGCACCCACTGCTAACTTCTTTATATGAAGTCATAGCGAGCTGTCTAACGTGTTTGTGCTTCTTTCACAGGATGGCGTTATCTGAACCTGGTCGGCAGCTGCGTCGAGACAGAACATTTTGACTGCACCAGCATCTCGAACAATGGTAACAAAGAGAATGGACTGATTCACTTATTTTGTCTTCTGTCTGAAAAACGCATCTGTTTGTGGTCAATATCTCAGTTCATTGAACTTGAAATATTGACAAATGTTCATGGCTTGAATCCGAGACGTTTCAGGAGAAGAAGTCATCCGTGTGCGTCGTTGTCCCTGAGACCCTTAACCTGTGATATTGAGCTGGTCACAGGTGAGGTCCTTGGGAACACTGTCGCATGCACCACATCTGGAGGATCACAGACACCTCTGCACGGACAGCACTGAACAAAACTGTAACCAAGCTAATTGTACACACTTCATCTGCTATATCATGCCTTTATTCAAGCTAACTTAACTTTGCAGTAAGTACGATGCTTTCAACAAGTCAGTAAAAAGTTGTGAAGACCCAAATCGATCTGTGAAAACATGATCGACTCTCGTGGAGGGAATGACTTTGCAGACTGTGGTGAAATAGACGTCATGAGCGCATGGTGAAGTTTCCAGACGTCATGGCGGCACTGCGGAGCTCTGAAGGGGGCAGTGCCTTTTGGCCGCCTTTGTGCCCAATAACACACGCCTCATTAATAAGACAGCCAAAAGGTTATGACCCCGAAAAACGATTCACTCAAGACTTTTAAATACGCTCGCGGCCACGGATCACGGCGGCATTGAGAATGACTCACGCAGGAACATTGGTAAGATTTTTGTGTTTAATTTATTAATCCTTTTAGACCTCTGCCTTTCAAACTGAAATTATTTGCCGCTTTCCATGTATTCAAAAGTATAAACGTTTCAGGAATTTGACATTTTCTTTTTACTTCTAATAAAAAGTGCACTTGTTTCCGCACTTGACCCAGAAATGCATTTTGCTCATTTAATGTGTTTTTTTTTTTTGGTCTGTATTATGCTCATTCATAGATTTTAAATAAAATTCTAAAGACCTCATTTGTACTGTGCTTGTGCTTGATTTTTTTATTGAACGCATTGAATATTTTGTAAGGTTTTATGAAACAGATTGGATGGATTGAATATTACTAAATGCACTGCTAAAAGCCAAGGCCTCACAGATATACGATTCCACTTTGTGTGCACCGTATCATCTCTAGACTGTTTTGCAACCACATTTTCCATCTGGTTTTATTTGTGACCTGTGCTTAATAAAGAGTCTTGAGACCCCAGTTTGCAGACGACTTGTAAAATCATTGACAAAGTGCTGGTGGTTTGGGTCTCTGTGGTCCTGTCTCGTCTCTGGCTCTGGTCCCAGCTCCAGTGTTTGTTCGTCCCAGGACATTTGGACATTTGACAGCGATTGTGCGGGAGACAGACCCGGCCACATTAGTACCCCACTCGCTCCTGCTGCTGAAAAACACATTAACGGGCTGCATCAGGAGCGCTGTCTGGTAACCATGGAGAAGACGAGCGAGGGCGGGGGCACGAGGCGGGACGGGGGGAGTGATGGTGGTGGGGGGGGGACAGGGCAGCGGGTTCACCTCAGAGTCTCACAGGGCCTATCTTTCTCAGACCTCACTCAAGCCAAACGGTCATTTTCTCTGAACCACAACTTATTGGCATTCCTTTAATGAAGATATGGCTGTTTTTTTAAGACGCTACAAACACAGAATGGGCACTAGGTCTCAGCAAAAAAACATACGGTCTTAACAATAAAGTCTGTCTCTGGGTATCCGAATGATCAGAATTTAGAACTATCAGATAAAAACTACAGTGGGGGAAATGTCAAAAGACTAAATATTTGTAGAATAATAAACAAAATCTATGCTTAAAATCTTGACAAAACTATTTCATTGTAGGTAAGAAATGTACTATAGTGCTACATTTATATCATCATATCTCTTGTCAATGTTAATACTGATAATACAATATAATTACACTCACCAATATGGATTCAATGTGACTTGGAATGCCAACATAATGCATTTCCTTTATAATGATAACCTAACCTGAACCATGGTTTCTACTTGTCTAACTTTAACCAAATGCAATCCATACCATCACACTCTTGATCTATCTAAATTATTGACGCAGTTTATTCTTGTGAAAATTACTATTAAACTTGACTTGTACATACATTTGTTTCAAGTGTTTCTGCTCACAACCTTCAGTACTAAATAGCATTATTCATTTTTGACAGTAAAAGTGTGGCGTTCATGGCAGAACATAGCAGAAGGTTCCTGTGTGACACACCCTGATTCTGCTTGTAGCACAATGATGGATGCACACAGTCTCTAACTGCAGTGGAGCCTCAGACAAACCTCCACAGCAGGACAGGATCTTGCTGTGAGGGGAACGGCTTGTATGACAATGTTCTACTTGTTTTCTCTGACATTTCACACATGTTGTTAAACACATTTTATTCATCTTTTGTCCACAATCAAGAGACATCAGATATTCTTGAAAAGACGACCAACTCAAATGGGTGGTTAGGTAAGCAAAGGTAGGGTATACTTTACACTAATAGCAATGAATAATAGTAATAATAATTGATTATTCGCTGTATTTAGAATAAACCCTTTTGTTCTGTAAAAAATAGTAACCTTGTTATTAAATTAATGTTATTTTTGTTAACAGAGGAAATCCAACTGATATAAATGAGATACTGGTATAAAGTTAAATTATTAGAAGATAAAAAAATTACGTATGTATTTTAAGAAATCATAATTTTTAAGAACTACAAGTCAGCCGCGAGATGGCGCGCTTGTACAAGGCGGAACTAAAGGCGCACTATGTGTTTCTCTGGGGTTCGTATTTGTCACGGACGACAGGAAGTGGTAGCAAATTTAAACATTCTGAATAAATGCCGTTTTGAAATATTTTTCCGAGGAATTTAATGGCGCTACACGTGCAGTTTACAGTAGTATGAGGTGAGTCCTTTATGACCCGTGATGAGACGTGTCTTCCCCCTGCAGAATGCAGCGTTTCTCGCCTTCGTGTATTTTGGACTAACTAAAGCTTTTATTTGGTCTTAGGGTTAGCCCTCTCAATTCAACGTTATAATGTGCAGGTGCTTGTATTGCACCTAATAACGACGTCATTGTTTACAGTTTATTTTCTCCTCCAAATGAAGACTTTAATTGAATATCACTGGTGTTCGCTTCTGTGCATGGATCTCATGTGTCTGAGCCTCATCCAAACCGCCATCATGGGTTTGGGTTATTAGGGCTTCAAACGAGTTAACAGACGACGCCCATAATAATAATCACACAATATTGTTACATTATCGTTTTTTATGCATGTGCACCTACATTATAGTGTATGTTTTTACAGTTGTATTGATATAAGTGTAGTTTAAATCGTGTTTACATTACAATGGTTAGTAGACTATTAACTGTATATGTACTTGAACTCTTGTAAATGTAGGGATAAGTTTCTGTATATGACAGTGACTAAAAGTGTTCTCTCTCAGGGACCAAACGGACAGTGAAAACAACGCAAGTACTGAGGACAGTATGGCTGATCAAGGAGATGTCTCTGATGGAGATTCCAGTGAAGAGAACAGTCGTGCTGAGTCTGAGAAAAAGACAGCTGTGGCTCTGAAGGAACTAAAAGTTTGCGTGACTGACATCAGCCTGGTGCACCCTGATGTGGTTACCAACACACCCTCTGGGAAAAGAGGGCGTGGACGGCCCAAAGGGTCAGCCAATAAGTCAAACGTAAACAGCGTAAACAGTGCCAAGAAAAGGGGCCGTCCAAAAAGCTCCTCAGTAACTCTTGCTGTTAGAGATCTAAATGGTGTTTCAGCCAAAAGGCTCAGAGGACATCCCAAAAGTGCAGCGTTTTCTTATGAAGACTCCTTTGAAGATGACAGTGACAGTGATGAAAGTGTTTCTCCCCCAAAAAAGAGGGGAAGACCAAAGGGATCCTTCAAGAAGCCCAAACCGGATTCTGAAATGAAAAGTGACAATGAAGGTGCAGCTAAAAGAGGGAGGGGAAGACCAAAGGGATCCTTCAAGAAGCCCAAACCGGATTCTGAAATGAAAAGTGACAATGAAGGTGCAGCTAAAAGAGGCAGAGGGAGACCAAAGAAAGGTCCTGTAAAAGGAAAACGAGGAAGGCCTAAAAAGAATATTCCAGCGGGAGCAAAGAGAGAAGTCACAGATGGAACAAAGTCCTCGCATAAAAGGCCAGGTCGACCAAAGGGCTCTCGAAACAAACCTGTGGTCACTGTTCAAGTGGAAAGCACCAGCGGTCGCCCCTCGCGAGTTCATATTCCACCTGACAAACTTCACATTTCACTTCCCAGAAAATACCCAGGTAAACGTGGTCGGCCAAAGAAAAACCAGCGAGGTCGACCAAGAAAGAGGCCTCTACCCCCAGAAGAGGAGCTGTACCTGCCACGAGTGTGGAAGGCTCTGGGGCGATCGCGAAAGTATCCAAGAGAAGAAGGATCCGAGCAAGAGCCTGGCCCCGAGACCCCACGCAGGGGCCGCGGGAGACCTCGCAAGTCCGAGAAGATTGCTCATTTGAAAAAGCTTGACAGCAACGGGTTTCCAAGAAAACCAGGACGTCCTCCTAAAGTAGAAAAAGAACAGGACGGTCCCCGGAGGAAGAGGGGGCGTCCCAAAGGCTCAGTCAAAAACAAAGCCCTTGATGATTCTGAAAACGGTTCTGATCTCAGCCCTGAGTCTGTTCCCTCTGAAGTGCCGTGTCCCCCCGAGGAGCTGTCTCCTCTTGAAGACAGCTTCTCAAGCACCAAGGACGACTTAGTTGCATAAATGTAGACTTTTGCACATTTAAAAAGTATCAATCGGAGAACTTCTATCATCTTCCTAAGAGTCTTTTAAACTAGTGGTAGTTTAAGTTTTAAACTACGTTACCTTTTAAACTACTACTTTAATGTGAGGCCTTCCTGAACTCATAGGACTTTTTTTTATTAGTGACTATTCATGGTTATATCTCGTCCTTCTTTAAAATGTGTATTGTATGTTTTGCTTTAGTTACCAAAGCTTTGAATGTAGTGTTAGATATTTGTAATAAACAGATTATAAAAGAAACTCGATTGTGAAAAACATTGAATTGCAGTTTTACTCATTGGTTCTTCACATTTTAGTTAATCTTTGCAATTTGGTCTATATTTCTTACATTTATTTTCAAACCCAAAACAACATTATTTTAATAAGCTATAGTTGATTATCGATGTTTTGAAATGTAACTAATTTATGAAAAGTAACCCTGCGAAAAATGTAAGTGTATGTATATTTTTATCTTGTAATTTGCACATGAAAAATTATTTGTGAGAACCCTGAATTTAAATAAAGTGCATTGTTGCTATACATCCTAATGTCCATTTTTCTTAAAAACCTTTTCAATCACATGTAGCGCATGGATCTATAATAATATCACTATAGCCAGACTTTGAATAATGTTTTCACTTAGTTCAGACTCCATGTTTATGGAGTAGAAAGTACTTACCAATATTCTGAATGAGACGCTCAAATATCACTAATTAAATATATAGAAATATACATTCTTACATATTCTAAAATGGGCGGAATCCTACTGTGAAAAAAAGCTTTGATCGCACAAAAGATGGATTGCACTTTTGGAGGAGGAAGGGCCCGATCCATGGGAGGGACAAGGCGCTTCCGGTGTGTGGGTGTGTGACGTCACATACCTGTCCACACCTGCGCAGTCCGCTCTGAGCTTCACAAAAAAGAATCAAGTGTTTTTAAAGTTACGGTCTTCCAGAGAGACATGTGACGCAGACACAGGTACGAGTGGTGTTTTTAATGTTTCCTGGTGTCGTTTGACCTTTACTCAGGGCTAAAGGAAAGTGGACTTTTTGAGGCCTAGATCCTGGTCCTGAAGTCTAAAGCCTAGATCCTAAACCCTGTGGAAACTCTGGGCTCGGCTTTGCCATAAACGCAGTGCAAGGTTCAACATGTACTTTGTATTACGACTTTATCTACTGTTGTGTGAACTTCATCCAGACTTTTAACCTTTTGTTAAAGCAGGAAGCAGTCAAAGCAAACTACAAAAGTTAAAACAACAGTAAAGACTAGACTCGGGCCGTGCTGCTTTATTCTTATTCTGTTGCAATAATGGCTTCTGCTCCAGCTTCAATGTTTACGCTCTGCAGGAATGTCAGTCTCTCTGGGGAATTCTCCAAAGTAAATACCTCACAGGGGATTTAAAATTATGATTTGTCAGAAAGAGCATTCATTATATATAATCAGAATAACAAAGCCCCCATCAGCACAAGTATTGTAAAGTATTATAAATTCCAAGGACAGATATGTGCGATTGATTGTAACTAGATATTGGATTCCACAAAGTAAAGAGACAAAAATTGTTTATTTAATATGAGTTAGTAACTGTATTTTTTGTTTTGTTCAAGGAATTGCTTGTATTTGATTTTCCTCAATGGACTATGCACTACTTTACATTAAACACATTCAACATGTTGTGAACCGGTGATAGTAGTTTATATTTTTGATTTGTAAGGACCTCTGTTTTTCTCCCACTGTCTGTAAGTGAACATTTCTAAATGGCTTCTCATTGTTTACAGCTGCCATCTTTCAGACCAAAGTTAGTAGTAGTTTTACGTTGATGCATACATTGAACATCAAAATATTGTTCCATTTATGGTTTATTGAACGATGAGTGAGCCATCTTTATTTATACAGCCATAGACCACAGAAAGGCTTTAGAGAAGTGATGGCGGTACTTCCTCCCAGCACCACACCTTTCAGCCTTCACAAACCGTTCCTATTGTACATGTTTTAGCGGTGTGTGAATCCTACCCACACATGGGAACATATGAACTTCATACAAAACTGTCTACATTTGTGTGATAATGTGTGTATTTTTCCTCAGATGCTTCACTGGATGACCGCAGAAGCAGTTCTTTTAAATCAAACATGTCAGACCCTAAGCCCGAGGATGCTAGGACTGTGCCTGTCGCGGAGCCTCAGGTTGAAAGAAAAGAAAAGTTGTTAGGCACAAAACCAATCGACGACGTTGAGAAGGACTTCACGGATCACTCTAAAGAAGAAGAAGAAGAAGAAACAAGTGTCCGTGCCGCTGTGGAGCCCTGCACTCTGCCGTGGCCCGGAGACCGAAAACCACAAACGGATCCAGACGACGGAATCTGGTCCGAGAAATGCACCTCTGAGCCTGAAGACAGAGACACCGGCATCAGTGGAGGAAGCCAGGACATTTCTGATAAACAGAGTCAAGGAGAAGAGGAGGTGGTGAACAAGGCCAAATGGAGAGAGAGCATGCCCGAAGGAGAACGGTGGAGGAGCGACGAGATCCAACGCAGCAGCGACAAAGGCGGAGGCTCCCTGGCTGATGATGAGGAGGAGGAGGATGAGGAGGATGAGGAGGAGCAGCGCTGGAGGGCGGAGAAGGGGACGCCCGGATTCTCACCTCAGGTCACATTGCTAACGTTTCAAACTCTGATACTAATGGAAAGGTTCAATAACAAGTGCATTACTATAGAGTGATATGTTTTTGGGTAATAAGCTGCCATTTATTATCACAGTACTTTTATACTCTACCACATTGTTTTATACTAGTTAGATATAGATCATTCTCTTCCTGAATCTACTAAGAATATGTTGTCTTCATTATACAGCATCTTTTTCGAATCAATTGTTAGCAAGAGGCAGTTTCATTCCTTTCATCAGTGAGATTCCAGACGGTGTGGATTTGTTCCTTGTCTCATTTCTGAGTCTTACAAAACATTTGTTAATATCCATCCATCCATTTTCCCCCTCTTCATCCATTGCCAGGTTGTGGGATTTCTTAATAATCCGCCCATAACCTTTTCTGAGTTCTGTTGAAATGAACAAATAATCAAACCAACTCAGATGAAAACATAACCTCTTTGGTGCGGTTACGATTCTGATCCAATCCCATGACTTAAAAAAGAATGCGTAATTTATGATAATGATTTATGATGTTCTTGTTCTTTTTCATTGACCTGGGGCATTAAACGGTCCTAAATTATCTAAATCTTTATGAAAGCTGCACTATCTCATAGATTTATTAAGATGAGAGAGGAATCAGGTTTTTTTTTTAATTTACAAATTTGAAGGCTGAAACAGGTCAGAAAAGTCCCATTTATGCAAAAATATGTTGTTTTTCAAATCTGATTTCCGGTATTTCTGGCGCCCCCACAGGTCACCATCGTGCGCATGTCCAGTAAAGACCTTCAGGAGGAAGAGGAGGAGCAGAGGCCACTGTTCCAGGAGGGATACACGGAGGACTACAACGACCAGAACTCTGTGCAGTACCACGAGTGGCCACAGCACGACGAAAAGATCTGTGAGTATCAGTTTAAAACTGAGGTACCGAAACCCTCGAGGGCTGCACCCGCCTCCTCCTCTGGGGCTCCTCAGTCCTGCATCACACAACCTCAGTCCTTATTCTACAGCCTGACTCCTGGATCTATATCTGTAGATCCCTCTCGATGTGAGCCTGCCGGAGGTTTCTCAACATCTTCCCACAGTTTTTTTATTGAGACGCCAAGATTAAGACACAGTTTGAGCCACATTTTTATCAGGACATTTTTATAATTTTTTATCAGTACCTGTTATTAGTATTACTGCATTATCCATCTGATATTTCTGCCATTCACCAGTCACTCTACCTGTTGATATTATTATTATTATTTCTGATAATTATATTATCAGAAATAATATTCTGCTCATATTCATATTTTCATATTCTCCGCTGCTAAAGTTCAATACACTCATCTGTAAATATCTCTGAACCAAGTGCAATTATAGCTCCAGAGTTTATCTTATTTCAATTTTATTGTCTATTATCTTAAATAATAGACTCAATTTGATGTTGTGTAATCTGAGTGCTCTTATTTCCTTCTTTCTCTGCTGCAATCTGCAACGATGACACTGAAATTTCTCCACTGTGAGACGAATATAGGTTTATCCTATCTTGAAAAAGATAAGATTAAAGAGCGACTAAACACCAAATCAAATTTTACTCATAAACTGCATAAATATGTTTATTGTAGTGCTCTCTACATATCCTGCTCATTTTTTTTGACATTTTAGTGCAAATTAGATAAAATCTCACTTTTGAGCCTAAAAACGTCTGTGTGGCGCCCTCTCAACCCCTTCGGTGGTACTACATTTGAATTTTGTCCTGGCCTCTCATTGGCTCTGGAGTACTGTGTGACGTCAGCAGTGATGGGAATAACGGCGTTACTTTTTTCAGTAACAAGTAATCTAACTAATTACTTTGACTGTAACTATAACGCCGTTATCATTTCCGACATCCCGTTACTGCGCGTTACTCAAGACGCACAATGAACTTCTCTTTTTACTTCGTGATAGGACTCGTGTGCGTGTTGTCATGAGAGAAGGGAGGATGAGAAAACCTCTCAGCAATTATTGGCTGATGTAAAACATATTTCCTTTACAATCCACATGTCTACAGTTGAGAGGATGGTCATAAATTGTGTTTTTGAAACAAATATGGGTCTTAGTCGCGCTCAACCACAGCTTGTATCACCGTGAGGGCTCAGAGGAGCTCATGTGAGCGCAGAAGTCGGCTGCATACAATTCCATCAGAAAGCTCCTTTCTCTTCCTGGTTTATCTGCTACGGGCAGCAACATGTTTGCCTAACATACATATAACACATTTTAAGATAATTTAAAATGCACTTACGGTAATTTTTCAATTACTATAGGAATGATAAGAAAGAGAGGTGAAGTGTAAGACGGTTGATTTTAGAAATTGGATGCACCCGGCTGCACCTAGCAAAACAGAGTAGTTTACGGAGGACACACGCGTTTTGTTTTACTTTTTAAAACTCATTTCCAAATGGAGGATTACATATCTACGCTCAAACTATTATCTGGACTTAAACACAGAACTGGTCTGAACTGAAGTGGTCTGTGCAGGTCATTTATAAGGTAAGACCCATAACTCATAGTTTTGCGTTTTGTATGAACAAACAATGCGGCCATGAAACATATTTTGCTGTAGCCAAACAAATTGTCCACTTGATTTATATGATGTATATGTTCATCTGATTGGTCTGAAGTCAGTGCTTCACCGGTGTTTCCACATTCACAGTGGCGGGTGTTGGTGTTTAGTGCTTACAGCACAGAGAGAGATGGAGAGTGAACAGGACTTCAGCAGCAAAACAGCCTTTTCTAGATGGAAATATTGGCAATATTTCAGACTCGCTGAGGTTAAAGGTAAAAATGCGCACCTCGAGTGCACATTATGTTCCAGAACAAAACGAAAAAGTAACGCAATAGTTACTTTTACTGGTAACTAGTTACTTTTATAGTGGAGTAACTCCGTTAGTAACTCAGTTACTTTTTGGGAGAAGTAACTAGTAGCTATAACTAATTACTTTTTCAAAGTAACGTGCCCAACACTGGACGTCAGTTGGTGTGTGTGTGACGTCAGTTGGTGTGTGTGTGACGTCAGTTGGTGTGTGTGTGTGATGTCAGTTGGTGTGTGTGTGACGTCAGTTGGTGTGTGTGTGTGACGTCAGTTGGTGTGTGTGTGACGTCAGTTGGTGTGTGTGTGACGTCAGTTGGTGTGTGTGTGACGTCAGTTGGTGTGTGTGTGACGTCAGTTGGTGTGTGTGTGACGTCAGTTGGTGTGTGTGACGTCAGTTGGTGTGTGTGACGTTGGTGTGTGTGTGACGTCAGTTGGTGTGTGTGTGACGTCAGTTGGTGTGTGTGTGACGTCAGTTGGGGGTGTGTGTGACACGTCAGTTGGTGTGTGTGTGACGACAGTTGGTGTGTGTGTGACGTCAGTTGGTGTGTGTGTGACTAGGCCTGTCACGATAACAAATTTTGCTGGACGATTAATTGTCTCAGAAATTATTGCGATAAGCGATTATATTGTCGTTCTGAGATCATTTGCATCGATTACAATGATAATGCAGGTACACTTTTTCAAAGAGAAATAAACTTTTATTTTTAACAAATATTTAACGCTAGAACACAATAAATTAACAAACAACCAAAAACAATAAATAAAATACTCAGTCTCTTAACAAAAAATGACCAGGAATAAAACTGCCAGGACCTTTGTAAAGAAAATATGAAACAGATGCCTCAAATGTCAATAATTTCTCAGACTTTATGGCAGATTACGAGAAAGAAATGCCAACATGTTGACTTTGTGTGACTTAAGACAAGATCTCTCAGGAGTAGTCCCACCTCCCCACACACCAGGCGAATGACAAGTGACTGACATGTACAGAAGTCCTGCTGCGGTAGCGCCCACCGGAAGTAGCGGGGCGGGCTTTGATGCTAACAGCTAAGCTAGCGGGTTTTTTGTGTAAAGTTCTACTCCAAGAATGCAAGTCTGCAGCATCTCTGTGTTCAGAGACCTTCTAGAGACTTTATATAACAGCAGTATGTGTTCACGGAGGTGCGCCATAAGTTTATTTTATTGGTACGGTACGGTACTTCTGCATCGGCGAACACGCTAACGCTATCTGCGCTAGTATAGTCACTAATCAAGCCTGAATGAGAACTCAGCTGCCAGCATATGTTCACAACTACTGTGTCCCCCATTGTCAATCCTGGTTAAGTCCTGGTTTAGGTCCTGTTTTGGCTGTATTTTGTATTTTTGAGTAATTTCCGTCTGCTTGCTAGACCGCTAATGTTCCCGTGACCACTTTGCGGCTCTCTGACCCGAGAGAGACGGGGTAAACAAACAAGCAAATGGGATTTATCGCGGCCAGAAAAGTTATTGAGCAAATTTTATTTATCGTGCGATTAATTGATTTATTGACTATCGCGACAGGCCTATGTGTGACGACAGTTGGTGTGTGTGTGACGTCAGTTGGTGTGTGTGTGAGACGTCAGTTGGTGTGTGTGTGTGACGTCAGTTGGTGTGTGTGTGAGACGTCAGTTGGTGTGTGTGTGATGTCAGTTGGTGTGTGTGATGTGTGACGTATGTTGGTGTGTGTGTGACGTCAGTTGGTGTGTGTGTGACGTCAGTTGGTGTGTGTGTGAGACGTCAGTTGGTGTGTGTGTGACGTCAGTTGGTGTGTGTGTGACGTGAGTTGGTGTGTGTGTGTGACGTCAGTTGGTGTGTGTGTGTGACGTCAGTTGGTGTGTGTGTGTGACGTGAGTTGGTGTGTGTGTGTGACGTCAGTTGGTGTGTGTGTGACGTCAGTTGGTGTGTGTGTGACGTCAGTTGGTGTGTGTGTGTGACGTCAGTTGGTGTGTGTGTGTGACGTCAGTTGGTGTGTGTGTGTGACGTCAGTTGGTGTGTGTGTGTGTGACGACAGTTGGTGTGTGTGACGACAGTTGGTGTGTGTGTGACGACAGTTGGTGTGTGTGTGACGTCAGTTGGTGTGTGTGTGTGACGTCAGTTGGTGTGTGTGTGTGACGTCAGTTGGTGTGTGTGTGTGACGTCAGTTGGTGTGTGTGTGTGACGTCAGTTGGTGTGTGTGTGTGACGTGAGTTGGTGTGTGTGTGTGACGTCAGTTGGTGTGTGTGTGACGTCAGTTGGTGTGTGTGTGACGTCAGTTGGTGTGTGTGTGTGACGTCAGTTGGTGTGTGTGTGTGACGTCAGTTGGTGTGTGTGTGTGACGACAGTTGGTGTGTGTGTGACGACAGTTGGTGTGTGTGTGACGTCAGTTGGTGTGTGTGTGACGACAGTTGGTGTGTGTGTGACGTCAGTTGGTGTGTGTGTGACGACAGTTGGTGTGTGTGTGTGATGTCAGTTGGTGTGTGTGTGTGACGTCAGTTGGTGTGTGTGTGATGTCAGTTGGTGTGTGTGTGACGTCAGTTGGTGTGTGTGTGTGACGTCAGTTGGTGTGTGTGTGATGTCAGTTGGTGTGTGTGTGTGACGTCAGTTGGTGTGTGTGTGATGTCAGTTGGTGTGTGTGTGACGTCAGTTGGTGTGTGTGTGATGTCAGTTGGTGTGTGTGTGACGTCAGTTGGTGTGTGTGTGACGTCAGTTGGTGTGTGTGTGACGTCAGTTGGTGTGTGTTTGACGTCAGTTGCTGTGTGTGTGACGTCAGTTGGTGTGTGTGTGGTGTGTGTGTGTGTGACGTCAGTTGGTGTGTGTGTGACGTCAGTTGGTGTGTGTGTGTGACGTCAGTTGGTGTGTGTGTGTGACGTCAGTTGGTGTGTGTGTGTGACGTCAGTTGGTGTGTGTGTGTGACGTCAGTTGGTGTGTGTGTGTGACGACAGTTGGTGTGTGTGTGACGACAGTTGGTGTGTGTGTGACGTCAGTTGGTGTGTGTGTGTGACGTCAGTTGGTGTGTGTGTGTGACGTCAGTTGGTGTGTGTGTGTGACGTCAGTTGGTGTGTGTGTGTGACGTCAGTTGGTGTGTGTGTGTGACGACAGTTGGTGTGTGTGTGACGACAGTTGGTGTGTGTGTGACGTCAGTTGGTGTGTGTGTGTGACGTCAGTTGGTGTGTGTGTGTGACGTCAGTTGGTGTGTGTGTGTGACGTCAGTTGGTGTGTGTGTGATGTCAGTTGGTGTGTGTGTGACGTCAGTTGGTGTGTGTGTGTGTGGACGTCAGTTGGTGTGTGTGTGATGTCAGTTGGTGTGTGTGTGTGACGTCAGTTGGTGTGTGTGTGATGTCAGTTGGTGTGTGTGTGACGTCAGTTGGTGTGTGTGTGATGTCAGTTGGTGTGTGTGTGTGACGTCAGTTGGTGTGTGTGTGACGTCAGTTGGTGTGTGTGTGACGTCAGTTGGTGTGTGTTTGACGTCAGTTGCTGTGTGTGTGACGTCAGTTGGTGTGTGTGTGGTGTGTGTGTGTGTGACGTCAGTTGGTGTGTGTGTGACGTCAGTTGGTGTGTGTGTGACGTCAGTTGGTGTGTGTGTGTGACGTCAGTTGGTGTGTGTGTGTGACGTCAGTTGGTGTGTGTGTGTGACGTCAGTTGGTGTGTGTGTGTGACGTCAGTTGGTGTGTGTGTGTGACGACAGTTGGTGTGTGTGTGACGACAGTTGGTGTGTGTGTGACGTCAGTTGGTGTGTGTGTGTGACGTCAGTTGGTGTGTGTGTGTGACGTCAGTTGGTGTGTGTGTGTGACGTCAGTTGGTGTGTGTGTGTGACGTCAGTTGGTGTGTGTGTGTGACGACAGTTGGTGTGTGTGTGACGACAGTTGGTGTGTGTGTGACGTCAGTTGGTGTGTGTGTGACGTCAGTTGGTGTGTGTGTGTGACGTCAGTTGGTGTGTGTGTGTGTGACGTCAGTTGGTGTGTGTGTGTGATGTCAGTTGGTGTGTGTGTGTGACGTCAGTTGGTGTGTGTGTGTGACGTCAGTTGGTGTGTGTGTGTGTGACGTCAGTTGGTGTGTGTGTGTGACGTCAGTTGGTGTGTGTGTGTGTGATGTCAGTTGGTGTGTGTGTGTGACGTCAGTTGGTGTGTGTGTGTGACGTCAGTTGGTGTGTGTGTGTGTGACGTCAGTTGGTGTGTGTGTGTGACGTCAGTTGGTGTGTGTGTGTGATGTCAGTTGGTGTGTGTGTGACGTCAGTTGGTGTGTGTGTGTGACGTCAGTTGGTGTGTGTGTGTGATGTCAGTTGGTGTGTGTGTGTGACGTCAGTTGGTGTGTGTGTGTGTGATGTCAGTTGGTGTGTGTGTGTGACGTCAGTTGGTGATATAAACCCATCCAAGTCTCACACACGCCCCAGCAGCAGGTTGGAGTATTCTGGCGACATCTAGTGGATTAAAATTTGAAGCCACTGCTGCTGCGATAATTCTGTGGATTAGGTTCAGTTGTGTAGCTCTACAATTATCTTGGTGTGTAAAGGAATGAGACTTTCTGGTGTGTAAACTATTGCTTTAAGCAGCAATGACAACTTTCTGTTTTTTTGTGTGACAAGTGAGCTGTCAATCACGGCCCAGACCACGCCCAACTCTAAGCCCCCCTTCTTGTGCCTTGGTCCTCCAGGCAACGCCCTCTAAGAGAAAATGTTCATGTGGGCGGAATCAGGCTGGGCACTGGTGTTTAGTCGCTCTTTAATCTCAATGGGATTTTCTTGGTTAAATAAATGTTGGATAATACAAAAAACACACACTTATTTACGGGTTGTACATTTATTTTAACAACATGGAAAACTGACCTGAACTGTATTTAATGATTGTATATTTTCACAGTTTTTTAATTGCTCTTCTGTCCAAACAATCGTATTTTCTGCAGTCTGATATAAGTCTGTGAAGCCGTGATGAGAAGATGACTCACATCGACATGATTCACTCTGTAAAGAATCTCACCTTAAGGCCTCAGTCCCATTGAACTGCTTCATTCTTCACCCACTGGAGCCGTGACTCACTCGGCTGATTTTCTGGTTACAACCGTTTTCACTTAAGTATTTGCACTTTCATTTATTTTCATTTATTTATTTATTTAATATGGACATAGCAATTAACATTGGACGAACCAGATGCATTGTTTAAAGTGTTATAGCACAAGTGCTAATTTTCAACACCTGTCCATACTTGAAATAGATGTTGTGACTCTCCTGGATCAGAACAGCTGGGCTTGTTTATGTTCAATGAGATGTCGTATTGCCATGTTTTACTTCAGTGTCTTTTCTCTGTGACTGTGACTGAAGCGGAGCCACTCGCACCTGTTTTTACACGACTCAAACGGTGCAAGTCTCCTGAAGACGTTCATAATGAAGTATTTACATGTATCTATTTAACTCCAAGTTTTCAATTAAAAAAACATGCGGTCACATCAATTAAAGATGCAGTCAGTAATTTTTTCCAGACGCATTTTTTAAAATATTGTGGAAAAACGTCCCTAAACCCTAAAAGTAGTCAAGTTTTCATATGTTTTCCAATTGTAATGGAATTGACCAGATGCCTATAGTCTACACAAAAATTAATAAAAAAAACTTTTGGAGCGGACTGATAAAAATAAACCAATGGGATTCGTTCATCCCCAACGAACCAATGGGATGTGTTTACCGCCTTCACCCTCTTCCTGTTTCTCGCCAGTGCACCGGAGTTATCGGATTTTCTAAAACCTAAAAGGGCTGAATAGAAAATGCCAACTTCACGTTTCCCGCCCACTCTCCCTGTTGTGACAAAGAAAAGAAAATGCTGGATGTTTGGTTTGGTGGAGAGGGAGGGGAGGGGAGTTGGTGCTACGGCTAAGCTAACAACATCACTTACTGCATCTTTAATCTTCAAACTATTTTGGTACTCATAAGAGATGGTCCTTCATTTGTCGCACACAGGGGAGATGTCAGTGTCATCGTTGCACATTTCAGCAGAATAAGAAATTATAAATTGTCATTTTATTATTTCATCTCCCACCCAAAAAAAAAGAATATGCTTTTTTGTTGTTGTTAAGCCTTCTTTCATTATTTAGTGTTGACACTTTCCCAAATAAAGGTGTTTGATCCAGTTTGAGCTTGTGCCGTGTCCTCAGACCTCGTGTTGTGTCCTCAGACCTCGTGTTGTGTCCTCAGACCTCGTGTTGTGTCCTCAGACCTCGTGTTGTGTCCTCAGACCTTGTGTTGTGTCCTCAGACCTTGTGTTGTGTCCTCAGACCTTGTGTTGTGTCCTCAGACCTCGTGTTGTGTCCTCAGACCTCGTGTTGTGTCCTCAGACCTCGTGTTGTGTCCTCAGACCTCGTGTTGTGTCCTCAGACCTCGTGTTGTGTCCTCAGACCTCGTGTTGTGTCCTCAGACCTCGTGTTGTGTCCTCAGACCTCGTGTTGTGTCCTCAGACCTTGTGTTGTGTCCTCAGACCTTGTGTTGTGTCCTCAGACCTCGTGTTGTGTCCTCAGACCTCGTGTTGTGTCCTCAGACCTCGTGTTGTGTCCTCAGACCTCGTGTTGTGTCCTCAGACCTTGTGTTGTGTCCTCAGACCTCGTGTTGTGTCCTCAGACCTTGTGTTGTGTCCTCAGACCTCGTGTTGTGTCCTCAGACCTTGTGTTGTGTCCTCAGACCTCGTGTGTTGTGTCCTCAGACCTCGTGTTGTGTCCTCAGACCTCGTGTTGTGTCCTCAGACCTTGTGTTGTGTCCTCAGACCTTGTGTTGTGTCCTCAGACCTTGTGTTGTGTCCTCAGACCTCGTGTTGTGTCCTCAGACCTTGTGTTTGTGTCCTCAGACCTTGTGTTGTGTCCTCAGACCTCGTGTTGTGTCCTCAGACCTCGTGTTGTGTCCTCAGACCTTGTGTTGTGTCCTCAGACCTTGTGTTGTGTCCTCAGACCTCGTGTTGTGTCCTCAGACCTTGTGTTGTGTCCTCAGACCTCGTGTTGTGTCCTCAGACCTCGTGTTGTGTCCTCAGACCTTGTGTTGTGTCCTCAGACCTCGTGTTGTGTCCTCAGACCTTGTGTTGTGTCCTCAGACCTTGTGTTGTGTCCTCAGACCTCGTGTCCTCAGACCTTGTGCTTTGTCCTCAGACCTGTGCGAGGACCCGTGTGGAGAGCGTCTGAAGCTGGGCCTGTCGGTGGCGGCCGGAGCGCTGCTGTTCCCTCTCCTGCTGTGGGGCGGGTTCGAGCTGCTGCCGTTCGACTCTCCGCCGCTCGAGAGCGCCCCCCTCAGGGTGGTCTACACTCTGCGCTGCTCCATGTTTGCCATGATTCCCATCATTCTGGGTACGAAAATGTAAACTACAACGAAGGATTATCTGACTTTGTTTTAGCTGTTTGTCTTAACTAAAGCCTAAATTCTAACTAAATGTTGGTTCTGCATTAGCCTGGTCGTACCACACCATAGTACAAATTACATTTCATACTAAGGTCTGGATTTGCTCCATTGACTCCGTTAACCCCTCCCACCTGTTAACTCCTTTTGCAGATTGAAACGATTGGATCTGAGTTTACCGTGACGAATGTAATGCGCCCGAGTGAGTGAGGCATTTAGTATTTAGCCTAGCCATCTCCTTTGCCGCTAACGGAGCCCGTGGGGAGTAGCGCCACAATCTTGACCAGCGATTACATTTGCTAAACATTCCTCTTGCTCCGGCTTCAACCAGACCGGATTACTTTACTATCGCATTATTCGCCATTGCCAAACTACAACCTGCCCGTTTGGCGCAAACTAGACTTAATATTGGACAGATGGTTTATTAGAGCTGCATGTGTTTCTTTAAAATAAGCTTGGATCTTTACTACATTTGTTCAGTAAGGCTCGTGAGTGTTCCTAAATGCAGTTCCCCTCCCCTCCTCTAGGCGTGCTGGTGCAGGGTGTGGCGCGGCTTCGGTACGGCTCGCTCCGCCCGCTGTACGAGGGCCGCCAGGAGAGCCGACAGGTGGCGGTCCACGTTCACTTCGTCAACGAGTCTGTGGGGCTCTTCCTCTTCTACTTCCTGCAGCTCGCCGTCATGGCAACCTACGTGAGCCAAAGCCTGGTCAAACTGGTGCCGCTGCTCACCATCATCTTTGCTTTTGGAAGGTACTTGACTCAAAGACACGACACAAACAAGTTACTTACTTAGAGATGAAATCTTGGAAGTGACAATATAAAAACAGTGGTTAGCACTCTCGCCTCTCAGCAAGAAGGTCCTGGGTTCAAATCCCGGTCAGAGCAGGGCCTTTCTGAGTGGATTTTTGCATGTTCTCCAAGTGCCTGCGTAGGTTTCCTCCAGGTACTCCGCTTTCCCCTATCACTAAAAACATGCTCACTAGCTTAAATCCTACAGCTCTGGTCCTGACCAAGCCAAGCATCAACATCTGGAGATGGGTTCCCGGGCGCTGTTGCTACGGCGACCACTGCTCCTGATGTAAGCCTTTGCGCGGCATCAGGATGGGTCAAATGCAGAGGAGGAATTTCCCTAAGGGGATTAATAAAAGTGGACCTTTACCTTTATCTTATGCAAACTTGTCAGAAAAAGTCTGTTTGATGATTTGGTCTGAGAGCTGATTAGCTGAAGGAGAGAGGTCCTCCATTATAACTTGTATGTCTGACAAGGCTGAAGATGCAATGGAAAACTATTGATGGAGCAAAATCAGTTAAGAGTCAGGAACTAGTTAAATGGATTTTACCACGTGTCATGTCATTTTCATTTTTTCCATCCCCTTTACTTATCCATTTCTGGGTCGAAGCAGGTGGTGGGTCCACGGGGAGATGGCTGCTTTGTCGACAAAGACATAGACTGGGTGTTTCAATTGGGGCTTCAGGCAAAGTGGGGTTAAGTGCCTTGCCCAGGGACACAACGATTGCAGACATCAGACTGAGCCACTGACCACATACGTTAACATAATTATTTTGGGTTGAATGTTAAGCACCCTGGCTTTATTATAATATGATTGAATTAGCAGAGGAGGTATTTTATCAGATGTCTAAAACCAATAAGAAACTACATTAGTTCAGTTGAAATGTGGTGAAGTTCTATATTGGTCATATTGGAAAAGCAAGAAATATTGACTTATAAGAAACTTATTCTGCGGAATGACCTGTTACTCAAGTTTTTAGGAATTTTACGCTCTTTACAACAAAGAGATCACCTTATGTCAGATGTTAAATTTGTAATATCCACCTCTACCTCTAGAGGGAGGTGTTTCACAAAGATAATTGTACATGTTCATCCAAAAACATTAGATATCTGTCATGTGTGTTTTCATGTGTGTGGCTCATGGTGGGTTCTGTTTCAGGCTGATCTATTGGCTGTGTCTGTCCCTGCGCAGTAGCATCCGTGGCTTCGGCTTCAGTTTCTCGTTTGCCCCGGTGCTGCTGATGCTGGGCTTCAACCTGTACTACGTGTGCTCGTCCATGGGCCAGAGCGCCGTGTTCAACGTGGAGCCGCCGCAGACTCAGGCCCCGCCCACTCAGCGCTGGTGGTTAGGCTGAAACACTGACCACGAAAAACTTAGATTGTAATTTACACTGATCATCCACATCCTCAGTCCTCTTTCTCTTTAATCTCTAAGAATAAATGTGTTTTATAATCATTCATTGAAATGAATATCACGTATTAAGAGAAACTGAGCGTAAACAATCTCCCTATGTTTGGAGAAGGACAGAAAGATGAAGTGAATGAATTTGTTTTTGGCCTTGAGTAAAATAGACGTTTGACACATTTTGGTGACGACTTTCTATATTTATCATTTAACGTGAGACACGAGCGCTTCATAAGTGTCTTTGCTCACAGCTGTTCTTCTCCCGCAGGAAACAGAGCAACTCTCTGAGAACACGTTTATGTTAAACATTTACAGTACTTTATACTGTACGCTGCTCTGCGGACGCCGTACCGCGGACGCCGTACCGCGGACGCTGCAGCCTTTAAAGCCGGATGTTAGTAAACACTCTTGTCATATTTCTCCTGAGCTTTTGTGGTAAAACAGTCATCTTTTGTTTACAGCAGTTAGATTCTTAGCTTTGGGGAGTTTCCATTTTTGTAAAAAGGGTAATGCAGTATATATGTATATAAATATATTTTATATTTGGGACCTGCAATAAAACCATTTCTTATTACAGTCTTGTGGATGTGTCTTCAGTGCAACATTTACCAACAGCATCAGTTCTGTTCGTGTGAAGAGTCCGCTCTGCACCATTCAGTTTATAACGGGCACGAGCTCAACTTGAAAATAAAATTGTTTTTCTGAGACATTCACCGGAAATGAGTTGATTTCTACTGAACATAGAAGTTTGACAGTTTAAATGATAAATGTGTCGTTATTTACTGCCTAATAAAATTAGTGATTTGGAGATATTTTTAAAACATTGAAGAGAAATCTTTTTTTTTAAATCTTTCAATGTGTAAATAACTGAAAATAGATGTGAATATTTGAGAAATAACTGTCTGTGAGTCTGTGTCTACATCCAGATGTTTAATCATCACTTAAGAGTGAAGAGAAACTGGTTTGTCACAAATAAACAGTAAAGTTGAAAGCAGTGAAGAAGATAAACAGTCAGTGTTGTCACTCAGTTTGTCTATTTAATATATAAAATACGGTAAAACATACGCAAAAAGGATAAGGTTTCAAGGGACTTGGATACTTTGGTACAACAAACACTTTTTTTGTAAAAGCGGTATAGAATTTCAATAACATATCAGTGCATACTTTGTATATGAAAATATACACAAACTGTATCATTCTCAAAAACAACAAAAGAATATTTTCTTTACAACAAAACCCAAAGCAGACTAGCTCAACACAATATATTAGCTATAAATTTCATCTTTAGTATCCATATGCTACATTATTCTGAGTTCGCACTCATTTGTGATGTTTGTGTCTGGAACAAACAGGCGCTGGGACCTGTGAGCTCATGCATTTATTCAATTCATATGAATTACCTTTTTCAGTTGTTTCACCTTTTATAAATATATTCTATATCTGAATTAAAACTGCAGCATTTAACTGGTATTTCCTTCATTGCATTTGCTAATACCACAATAATTGATCGTGCAATTTTCAGCAAGTTGTTTCAAAAAAGGAAACCAGTGCTATGTTTATGACCAGAGAAAAGAAAACGGTTGGCTATTCTACACGGAAACTGCATCAAAATAAAAGCTCCATAATAGTAATAATCATATCATTATACTAATAGACAATGGAACTGTCACCAGCACAACTTAATCCAAAAATAGTGAGCTTCTAAAAAACATTGTACACATCAAGTAACAGGGTGCAGGTTCATGTCGCAAAGATTGTCATGTGACTAAACTAGAGCTCGGACAAAGAACCGTTGTACAATACATCATCCCGCTGTGTCCTTCAGCCAAGCACCAGCCGAGGGAGAGGACGATTACAATTTTTAGTTCCGTGTGAGAGAAAGAAATGGCCAATGAAGTGGGGCTGATGTCAGGAGCTGAGTCCTCGGTCCTGGGTCCAAGTCAAATGAGAGAACTCGATGCACGTTGGATTTAAGATGAAAGATTAAACGACACCACACGACGATGGGCGGAAAAGTGACCGGTTTAAAACTCCACAAAAACAGTGTAGTGTCAACGCGTCAACAGTAGCAACAAAGAAAAGTTAGAGTCGGGATGGGGCGTGAAGTCATCCGTGAAATACTAAGGGCATAAGTTTAACAGTTATCAATTAAAGCTGGGGTACGCAACTTCAAAACCACCCCATATCTAACTAGCTGCTTATACGTCACTACTTTTCACATGCATGTAGTATTTGCATATATATAACATTGGTATTTATGCAGAAAAGGTTGCGTACCCCGGATTTAAGTCTCAGGGCTCCAGAGTGCACCAGTTTTTATATAGCTGTCTGTTTCGTTTGGATACAGCGATAAATAAAATAAAAACAAACACATTTTTTTACTAAGCCGTTGATTAATATTGTAAAAATCAATACAATATATTTTTAAAAACAATAATAGTAATGAACTTTCTGGTGCAGCTGAATGTCAGAGTTAGCTGCACCCGTAGCCCTGCTTTAAGTGCGTCAACGTTAGCAACAATAAAAACTTGAGCTGCTCATAATGGCAATATGTCGTGATTATAGCATCATCACGATCCCTTCCTGAAGTTACAGAAAATGTTTGACTTTTATTCACTCATATTGTTTTGACTCCTCAATGAATCCGTGTCTGCACAAATCAAAAATTCGATTATTATCATTCCTTAATCATTAATTGGCCACGACAGCGCTACTAAAAAAACTTATACATGATAGGATTCAACATTGGCGAAGGAGGATTGCAAACAAACTGACATTTTAAAAGAAAGTACTGTACTTGCTGGACTTTTGGCCGCTCCTGTAGATAAACTGCACCAGCTACATTTGAACAGAAAGTATATTTTGTTCACATATAGGCCGCACTTGGATATAAGCCTCATGTTTTCATAATGTACCAACTGGACCAACAGCAGAAGCGGCAGAACGACGCTAAACTAGACACGACGAGACGCGTTTTCATGCACTGTTGGTTCGAGATTTCTTTGCTCGTTGTGTCCTCTGTCTGCTGTTCACATAAACACATCAGGAAGCAGGAATGCGTGCTGCGTCATCAGCTCTAGAGATCAACAGCTGATAGAGCGGCGTCCAAATGAAACCTCAGGGGGGAGCTCTAACAAAATAAAATTGCGTACAATGGCTGCGTCCCTATATTTTGGCGGCAGAAATCAAAATAAATGAAGAAGTAGCAGCTTATAGTCCAGTAAGTACCGTTGTTTCTGTTTCCTCTTGTTCTTGGTGAAATCATGGAGCCTCGATGAATGGCGTGATCCTCAATGATAATGCATTTAGGTGCTTGTCTGAGTATATTCAACTTTTTTTTTTGCTTGTTGTGCCCATCCCAAGTTTGAAAGACACAGCTCACACACTGGGAGCCTCTCTCTTGGTTACATAGATTTAAACGCTGTATCCATATCCACATATAAAAATACTGTCAACAGTCTGCACCCAAAAAACATCAAGAAAAATCGGGAGAAAATTTCCATTAGCTGACAATTACAACTACTCACACACACACACATGAAATGGCTATGTCAGAAATAAACAGCACTTTTTCTAAGCCAAACTCTTTGACTTACTTTTTAAAAAAACCAAAAGGCAAAAACTATGTGCTTATGTGACAAGTCTTAACCGATTTGAACTAAGTGTCTTTTTGTAAACTAGACTAAAAGTGAGTGGCAGTGTCTAATCGTTTAATATTCCTGTCTGCAACAATGGTTTACCGTCAATCGTAAGCTTTGAAAAAACATGTGGTATAATAGTATGACAACACCACGACCGAGTAGGCCTCCGTGAGAAGTGTACACGACCATCTACGATAGCATAAAATAGTTTCACGGAGAGAACGTCAAGTCCGGCACCGATTACTCCAAAAAACATATCAAATTCACACTCATATATGCAAACAGATCCACTGGGATCAACACATTGCTTGTTTTTAGGGATACCTAGCAAAGTCTATGCAAATATTATATCCATATGTACATACACGTTGCTGAAAGCCGCTGCTGTACTTAATCGCCCCGTAAGCGGTAGAAATATAGAAAACGTTTTCTTCTGATTACTTTGTACGGTGTAACAGGAGAGCTAGTAGTAGATAGAGAGCTAAAGAGGACATCAAAGCTTTTGTATAAGGAGTGGGTTATACAAAGTCCTACTGCTGGACATCTACTGGACCGTCAAAACAGATTTTTAAATTACTAACAAGTAAAATGTTAACACGTGGACTAAAAAGAACAAAATACTACCCGATACCCAATACTACCAGGCTCGAGGAGACCCCCTATGCATGTCGCCGCATGGCATCTACTCCTGGTACTAATCTGGACTTCGCAGAAGGTTTGAGAAGAGGTTAAAAAGTCGAAGGACGGGAAGTGCAGCCCTGGTGAGAACAGCGGGGGAGGGGGGCGCCTCAAAACAGTCTCAATCCTGAACCCCTCTGTGACGTTTGGTGTCCGGGTCGTCCCTGTGCCGCGAGCAAGAGGCGTCTGGCATATTTATTTTTGTTGGTTTTGAGGTTTTGATATTGGCACTCCATAGCTGCTGGGGTGGTTAGTCAAATCCAAGTGTTTTTTAGTGCTCAATATAACATGTTTCAGTCTTAAGAACCATGTAAAGGCATCACCGAAAGTGCCGCAGGTGAGTGAGTTATGGATGGATCCTGATGCTGGGGTTTTGAAGAGAGAACGGCAGTAGAAGTGGCGTGAAAGTTCAGTGCGAAGCCACTTGTAGCGCCAGTGCAGCAATGCAAACACATGGTGATGCGAAACCATGTAGAAGCGTCAGTTTGTCAAGTCAGGAGACGTCTATTCAAGCTGAAGACAAGTCTAATGTTTATGCGTCCAGCAGAAGCAATCCTCAGACAACAAATGTGTGTGTTTTTTTTTGTATTTTTAAATAATTTTGGCAAAGTCTGCAGCTTTAAATGTATGATTCAGGACATGGTGTGAGATAGTGTTGGATGGCAGTGGTGGGGTGAGTGCCGTGAGTGCCCAAGTGTCTCCAAAACAAACATCCTCTATGTGGCCCACGCGTCCAGTCTCATGCGCTTCACGTTGCTGCCTTCTTGCTCCTGCTCGCTGCCCGCCCGGATGAGGAGGTCCGCGGGGTTAATACTGGCCGTGCCGCTGCCCCCGCCGCCCCCTCCGCCCGTGTCGTCCCGGTCGCTGCCCTCGAAGGAGCTGGCGTTGCTGCTTACGCTGTCGGCTGGCGAGCGGCCGGTGGGCGGCTCCAGACAGAGCAGGGAGCCGGGATACTGCGGCGGAGCACTGAGTATGGCGCCCGCGGCTGTGGTCACCGGGGTGGAGGAGGGGTGCGGGCAGGGTGTGCTGCGGTCGCGGCCCGGAGACACAGGCTCAGACTTGATGCTGACGCCGGAGCTGGTGTTCACCGTCAACATGGCGCCTTGAGGTAAATGTGTCACGGGCCTGAAACATCAGGGGCACAGACAGAGGAGTGGAGGAAAAACACAACGTGAAGTTTAATTATATATCGTGAAACATTCTGAACAGTATTGTGCCAAGGTTTTAGACAAGATCCCACTTTACATTCATGCAGCAAACATCTGGAACAGTGTTCCTGAAAATGTGAGACAGGCCTTTACTCAGTGTTTAAGTCGAGGTTAAGGCAGTTTTGTTAAAACAAATCTGTGCAACAACTGAAGGATTGTATCTTCTAGTTCTGTCTGGATATTTTTACTGTTTGTCATTAAATGACTTTTACATCAGCAGAAAGCAGCTCACTTCACTTTAAGTTACATATTTCTAAATAAAAAAGTTAGTTGTCTAAAATGTCTACATTTTAAATTTAAAAAAAGGGCAGTTATATGACCAAAAAAGGGTCACCGCCAGGACAGTTGAGGTATTACTTATAATCTGTGACGCACTTTGAGTTGTGCTATGCAAATAAACTTGCCTGGGCTATTTTTGATCCAAATGAGAATTAGAAAATATAAAGCTAACTTTTTGTAGACGTTCATATCATCCACAAGGGGTCAGTATAGACATAAATAACTTCAGCTCCATCTATAACGATATTTTTCTATCCAGGACTAAATCAAAGTCACTGTTCCTTAGGTGCAGCTGCTGTTTAAGGCTGAAGACACAACCTTTGGAAAACATACACAAAACAGTTGAAGCACGGCATCTCTAAAGCTGTCTTAAGAGCTCCCCCTCACTCAGCTTAAACCTTTTGCACAATACTGTAGACAAACACGTCTGGAGCAAATGCAAAACCAAACACTAAACATATCACAGCACCGACAAAGCCACGTAGTCCCTAAAACCAGTAGAAAGGCTGCTCAAAGCATTTCCCAGTGTATGGACAGGACAGCCCAGGAAGCATGAGTCATGTGTGAATGATTCAAAGTAAGTAGTTTGATGATGTGTAAAATGCATTAGAATTATACTTGGGTTAGTGGTCAAATGGGGGAAAGAGAGAGAGGGTCTAGTCTGTTGTCCGCAGACGGCACATGCTTAAAAAAAGAGCAGCCAAAGCACACAGACAAACAGGAAACAGGAAGTGAGATACAGTACCGGCCCAACCACTCATCTCTACCCAAGAGCAGGTTGGACGGAGAGCCAACGCTGTGGGGACAAAACAAAGGGTTGGAGTCCAAACCAGAAGCGGGAATGGCCATTATTGTGACCACCACAATAATGTTGTAGTGGCGTGAAGCTAACTGCGGCCTAGTCCATTTGAACAGAAACGTCAAGTACAAACAGATAAAGACATTAAACCCAAGAGACATGCAGACAGGCGACTTCTGAGTATTACGCCGTGGAATTCAGAGTTCATTTAAAAGTGTGATTTGAACCAGAAATCAGAGGTGGTCATACACACTGGCCCAAAGAGACACAAACACATTCACAGGCTGCTGTATCATTATATACGACGGTTATATATTTACATGTTAATGATGTGGCAATTGTAATCTCTAAAACAGTGGACCCAGATCATAAATGTTTTCAAGTTACGGAAACCAAACACTTCCTAATCGACAGTGACAGTCAACGTGCTCACATCTCAGCAGCAGCAGCAGCTCTGAGCTCATTCTCTCTCTTTTTAACACTACAGACATGGGACACTGGACACACGCACACTGGGGCTGTCACCTCAGATTGGCGGCCAGGCTGGACACCTGGCTGCACAGATCGCTGTTCTGTTTGTCCACGCCCCACATGCTGCGGACGAGAGAGAGAGAAACTTCACCAAAACACTACATTCACTCGACCAATCCGCATGCTCCCATTGAGAGTTGGGCTGTTAGGCATTTAAATGTGTCCACAACTGTCTGTATAACGTTAAAGCTGGGGTACCTGACTTTCAAACTACAGCAATGGAACCATGTAATATAATCCATCTCAAAACGCTTTGGTTCCATCATATCTTTAGATCAGCTTTTTCAGACAGAAAAGTAAAAAATAAGACTGCTCTGACTCAGCCAATCAGCTCAAAGCATTAAATAGTGACTCACACGACCCTTGTTTACAACTATGCAAAAGAGAACATGTTTTATGATGAATGCTGCATGTCTTTCTGTGAAAATGTGTTATTTATGAACCTTAAAAGATAGGTACCCCAGCTTTAAGTCATGAAGACACTTGAATGAGCTGCGCAATGGTGCATTGATAATCGCCAATGACCTCTCTGGGATAATTGCATCATTTATCAATCAGGGCCATAAGTTACACATGTCTCTAGAGGAAGAACGTCTTTCCCTAAAACCCAGAAAACATTTGTGCAAGAAGCATATTGTGAACGTTTCCTTAGTTTCCCATGAACTCCAGCTGATGTCATGAGGAGATGGTGAGATGCAGTGGTTACTACAGAGGAGAAGAGGTGAGGTTCTTGCATTTCAGATTATGACATGAGACCATGCAAGCTGACAAGGGCCAGGAGGTACCAGGAGGGGGGAACCAGGAAAGGGGAACCAGGAGTGACCCGGGGAGGAACCATGGGGGCCTGGGTACACCAAGGCCTTTCTTCAGAGCTTTCACGAGTTTCTTTGTTGGGACTGAAAAGAAAGAGTTGAGTAGAGTTTGGAGGTTGGACTTACACCAAGTTGCTGAGAGACGCCAGGTTGATCTGCTGCTGTTGGGCGGTTGCCGACTGTTGCTGCGGTTGCTGCGGTTGCTGCTGTTGCCATGAGGACACGCTGCTCGGCAACAGACCTCCAGGTGAGGCCAGAGCATGAAGCGCGGTGATGTCCGCACTGGTCAGCTGGTACTCTGCAGAAGGACCAAGGAAAAAGGCTAATCAGAATCGAGCTGCGTGACCTCTGAGCCTGGTGAACATTTTAAACAACATTGTATCATATATGTTGTATTTTATATTTGTATGTATCTTCTACATGAATACAAGTCCGGGGTATACTGCTGTACTCTTTTCTCTGTGGTAATGTTGGATACACCGTGCACAATCAAGGCACCACCTTTGATATGCAGTCTCAGCGTCCAGTGATCCTACACCACTCGTAAACTTGGAGAGCAGTCTCCCCTCGCAGAGAAGGAAAAACACATTCCAAACGATGTGAGGAGCGATAAAGGATTTTTCCTCAGCACTGGGGCTGTTTGCACTGATCTTTAAGTAATTCCTTGCTCTCTCTGTTTTTCCTTGATAAAACGATAGACAGTTAAAACATATTTAGTGCAGATGGAGAGGACATAGAGGCTTGTCAGGCCTCTCTACCCAGAGGCCTCAAAGAATCTGCATACAGCACTTTACAGAAAAGGATAAAGTTTTAGGCTTCAGCTGGTGTACATCAACAGCTTCAAATGTGTATTTTGGATGAAAACAACTGTGTTAAGAATCATAGAGCAGGTTAGTCTTTGTTGAGACTTTAAACGGTTTTATAAAGGTCTATGAACAAATGAGTAAAATAAATGAGCAGAGCAAACTGAAGTGGGCGTGACTGTTGAGCTCCTGAAACAAACGGTCATAGAAGATTCCAGAGCTTCTAACCTCTAACACCGAGAACAACACGATTACAGGTGATTACAGGCTTTTGGTGAGTGACACCTTACATTATCTCATGTGTGCAGTAAATGGACACAGGTGTATAGAGCAATCCTCTGACCTGTGTTGTAGGCGGTGGGCATGGCGGAGAAGGGCAGCCCCTGGGCCAGCAGACTGGGCGTGGCCACAGAGACGACCGGTGTGGTGAGGCTCTGTGCCACTTGGGCTCCTGCCGCCAACCGCTGAGCGTTCTGCAAAACCACAAAGTGTCGTCAAACAAGGAACTCAAACTGAGCAGAACTGAGATGAGTCCGGATGTCCACGGATGACTGTGCCGACATGCTGGAGTGATGAGATGTGGTGAGGCCAGAAATCACAAAGTGGAGGATTCAACATAAACCCACAGGTTCTGGATGACATGCTTCAGAAACATATCATCCTTTTTGGGCAGATTACATTAAAGGCATTTGAGTTACTTTGCTATTTTGCATTAGATTGTCTACGTTTCTACATAATGTCCTACTGTTGGACGAATGATGTCTTAATCTTAGGAAGGACTTACATTTTTCAATTTTTTAGCATTTTGATACCAATCTCTGCACTAAAGAGTACCTAAAAGTACTCCTGCATGTTCAATTTCTATGTATAATGCTTACATCAGTCCCTTCTAATTCATTCAACTTAACTTAAAAGCCAAGTTTTTCACAGCGTGGTGGATCGAGAGCTTACTAAGGTCACATCCCACGGCTCACAGTTGGAAATATTTGGATGGCACAACATTTGGCAAAACAAAAGACCCTTGTAAAGAGTATTAAAGACACAACGAGGTGTTATGGCCGCGCATCTGTGCCTCATAATAAAATGCAGTAACTGATTTTGTGAAAGGGATATTAAGGTTATTCGCACAAAAGGGCAAAAGATGCGATCACTTCAGTCTTGAATTACTTTGGCTTCTCTTTGCGGTGATTTTCAGAGGAAACATTGGCCTGGGTTATGACTGTAACATTGGATTTGGAGTGAGAGAAGATTGAGCGCAGAGTAGGGCCAGATTCAATTAAGTGCCTTTGTAGAGACGCGAGGAGGAGCGGCGCGAGAGGGGGCGATGGAAATGAATCAGCCCGAGCTGGAAAATGAGATTCTGGCTGTAACTCTGAGAAGTATTATAGAAATATGACAGAGGGGTGACAGCACCAAGTATGAGAACAAGTCAAGTCTTGGAGCAGAGAATGGGTCTGAAGAAGCTGAACTTTAGCTTCAGACTGGCAAAATTCAGGCTTTTCTTTCTTTTTTTTATTACAAGAATGAATATTTGTCTTTGTCCAGACTGATTGTGAAATATAGATGCATTACTTCTGGATTTCCTATAGTACGTATTTTAATCTAGATTGATTTGAGATTTTCAGTCTCACAAATCTGTAAGTGGCTAAAGTTGTAAAATGCCTTTAATGTAATATCACTTTTTGGGGGTGGAAATGGTCATTGGGGCATTGCTAGTGTGTACCAGGTGGAGACCAATGCATCATGGGCATCTAAACATCTCCAAGACAATGAAAACTGCTCTTTTGACACGGGCTGTACATGGAGCTGGTAAATACCACTGGACAGACTATCTTTTGCAGTAAATATCCGGGCATCAGTCATGACGATTAAATGCATGTATTCTCTTTGATTAAATGGTTGGTTTGTTGTTTCCATTGCTTGATTATGTCATTTTTCAGATACATCGAAAAAGCAGATGCAACTGCTGTAGAAAACATATACAAAATGACCAACCACAACACGGGTTAGACAATCATTTATCTGTTTTATCCCATATTTCTTCACTATAAGGGTGTATAATGGACCCAGCTGCCCACCAAGCTGTCCATCCGCCCACAACTGCCATGTACAACCTCCACTAACACCCCGCACAAACTACACACAAGGATCGTCGCAATATCTGAATAGAGAAATCATGGTTAAAACATAAAATCGTGTCCATAATGCAACAGCTATGAGCCCTCATCGTCATGCAGTTGAAGTTGAAACTAAAAAAACCATCTTGGGAAATGTGGAACAAGACCAGAACAATGAGGCCTGCAGTGGGACCATGCTGCTACCATGTGTGGCCAGTCCTGGACCCATGCGAAAGACTGAAGCATTCACCTCGTTTACCAACTCCAGCTCTTCCTCTGTCTGTGAAGGGGGCAACAGAAGGGTTAAGCGCTGAGTGGGCGGGTGCAGCAGCGAGAACAATAGTCAGAAGTCTATCAAAGATAACTAGTTAGTGTCAGCTTTCACTCAGAGTCAGTAAACAGGATGCAGAGGGGAGAAAGGTTGAATCACATGGTACTGAGGATGTATCTCTGTCAAAGTCAACAAACTCTGTCCAGGTGAATGTGTTGAATTAAACTTTTAAGAGTCTGCTGCTAATGACTATTATCTATTTGCTTGGAATCTCTATGATACAAAACTTACTTTGAATAATACATACAATTACAGTATAGATGTTTTTGCTTATGTTTAAAGCTTAGAACGGGGTGTCAAACTCTTTATGGTCAGGGGCGGGAAAAAAAATAGGAACTGGTCGGGGCCGAAACAATTTCCTTTTTCTTTTCTTTGAAGATATTTTAACATAACATGAGTTTCACTGTTATTTTCTGGTTTATTTTTCTGAAAACAAAATGTGTTTATTGTTTAGATTAAACCAAAACTGGATCAAATCTGAAGTAAAACATTTTATATTGAACTATTTAACTTCTAATGATGTGTAATTGGGTTAAAATGTTATAAAACATTAAATTTGGTTGTTTTCCTGAGCAAATAGATAATGTATTACTTTAGTCACCCTTAACCATCAATGCTGCTAGTTAATAATAATAATCAATAATTTTAGGGGCCACTAAAAGTTGTCTAGCGGGCCTTGACTCTGACACCCATGGCTTAGAAGGTTCTTTAATCAGGAAGCCCCGCACAGCCCATGAACAGAGATGAAGGGGCTTTCACCTCGACTCACACTTCTCCACAGACGACACCATGTGGTAATTCATTTTTTGTCTCATTCAATGAATCGTCTAAGCCTCAGATGTTTTTACTGCTGAAAAACCTATATTCTTAGATTGAGTCAGCTCTTGTCTCCCCAGATATGTTATGTACTGTCCATCCATCCATCCATTTTCTTCCCCTTAATCCATTTCTGGGTCGGGGGGGTGGCCAGAGCTGCACCCAGTTCACAGAGCACCAGCCCCTCACTGATCCTCCTGCAGGTGGTGAGTCCACAGGAGCTGAGATCTTTCAGTGGGGGCTTCAGGCAAAGTGGGGTTAAGTGTCTTGCCCAAGGACACAACGACAACAGTCATCAGTGGGAGTCGTGAAGTAGGTCTTACGGTGGGCTCGAACCCACGACCTTCAGGCTCAAAGGCCAATGCTCTACCAACTGAGCTACTGTCGCCGTTACTGTTATGTACTGTAACTTTGTTTAATTAAATGGAAACTAATTTAATGCCATATTGTGGAACATTCCAGGCCAAACAATTATCGAGAAAAGAGCAGACACTTCAGCAGGAAAGTTGGCACAAATAGAAAGAGGATTTGATCAATATTGTGCGCTGCAGAATAAGAAGCGTTTACATTTGTTTTCATATAATATTCATTTTTAAGAGTGTTACAAATGGCTTTTTCAAGAAACAGTGTCTATTGTTCCCACCTCTGCACCTTCTCCACCGACTCCCACTGATGACTGCTGTCGTTGTGTCCTTGGGCAAGACACTTAACCCCACTTTGCCCAAAAGCCCCGTCCTCCTGTGGACTCACCACCTGCAGAGGGTCAGTGAAGGGCTGGTGCTATGAGACTTGGGTGGCATCTCTGACTGCCACCCCCCTGACCCAGAAATGGATTAAAGGGTAGAAAATGGATGGATGGACAGTGTCTATTGTATCTGTTCTGTGTATGATTTTATTGTTTCCTCTTGTTTGGTGAAGGACTTTGCCTTTCACAACTGCTGTTCTCAAAGTGGTCTGAGATAAATAATCTGTCTACATCCTAAAAAGCAGTGATAAAAAGCAGGATATTTTGTGCCGCACATTGATTGCATGTAAAAGTATGTACATCAGACTATTAGCTTTAGCATTTCCAGCCTTGCTTCACGGATTATCTCGCTCGTACGAGTCTTGTAAACAGGATTAGCAGTTGTGGCGCTCACCATCTGCATCAGGCTCTTCCCGCCCTGCGATGTGATGACACGGAGGTCTGGCTTGCGGCTGTTGGCCATCTGCGGACTCGGAGGTGGAGGTGGGGACTTAGCCGGGACTACTTTCCCCAGACTGTTGCCGTTGGAGACCGTGAGCAGGCCCGGCGAGGCCCTGGCGCTGGTGTATCCATTAGCTGCAGAGGAGACAAAGGTGCGATCGCTCGGAAATCAATTAAATCTCACAGGTGAATGAAGCAGACAGAGGGGTGCAGACGACAGAGGCTAAAATAATCAGAGCTGGAGATGTCTGGCTGCGTCTGGAGCTATTTTCAGACACTGCAGTGGCTTCAGTTAGAGTAAAAAAAGAATTAAAAAAGGCAAATCCTCTAACAAGAAGTGAATGTCGTTATCGTTACAATAATGAGGACACGTGACGAGCACTAATCCATTTCCTTTTCTAACAAAGAAGCTAAACCAGAGCTTTTGAAACATAATCAAGTACGTTTTGTCTTGCCGAAGTAAAGATTGTATTGAACTAGGGTCGAAATGCTCCGTCTGCATCTGTGCAAAGTTAAAGTACGGCTTTAAAGCAGAGAGAGACAGAAAAATAAAACCCTTTTATAACCTCAACACAAAACTATTGACCAAACAAATACATATTTTGTGCCAATATTGTTAATAATTATTTTACTTTAGTACATTTCACAGCTTAAGGGATGAGGATATGAGGAAAAATGGCATTGAGATTTTCATGAGAAAGTACATTTTGTCCACAAATAAACGCACTGAATACAAGCAAGTTTTTATCTTTTAGAACAATTAGATTTTGAATGAACTATATATTTAAAGGTGAGCCACTGGGGTCATAGATAATCACAACAGAACAGATTGTGTCCCCATTATATACAAGACTGACATTGTGACCTTGTGTGAATGTCTCCATGACTGCTGTAGACGTGTTACCGTTATCGTGAGTAGATTTGTGGATTGAGAGATTTAAAATAGGGTATAACATGTCTATATTGTCTATATTAGCTGGTGGCGCTGAGTGAGGGCTGTAAGATGCAATAGAAAATAAATAATTAAAAAAATCAGGGAGTCATTAGGAATCTAGGAATGAGTGTGAGGAATAAGGGACCTTGTCCCTTATGTTTTTTCTGCCTTCTATCTCTTTTATTGCTTCTACTCTACGTCATGAACCAATATGAACTCGGGATCCCTTTTGTGTTTTGCTTCAAATATCAGTTGAACAATACGGTGAAGTGTAAGCAAAGCACAAGGCTTTTATTGTCTAAGCGAAACATAACAAGACTCCCGGTGCGAAAACACAAAAACAGCTCTTTAATGTGGCTATAGATCACACAACATGCTACGCGGCTAAGTGTCTGCAACGCTGCGACTATCTTTTGTTTTTTTACTGGTGGCTTCCCTCCTGATTCATTTCAAGCCGAATCCCAGATGGTGCAGAGGAGGAGGAGAGAAAAGCATTTGACCGAGCGAGCACATGTGGCGTTGAATAAAGAATATAGAGTATGAAGATTTAAAAGAGTACTTACGAACTGGACTAGGGCAGCCTCCGTTTGAATTATTCAGATCGCCGCCAAGAAGAGCCCCTATTGAAGAGAGGACATGAGTAATAGGGTTATGTAGAGAAGTGCCATCTCAAAGCTTTTTAATGCACTGCCAAGGGGCTTTATTATTGAAAACCATAAATGTAGTCTACTCATCTGTTACTTCAAAGCCGCGGTTTCGTCTCATAGTCGGGAGATAATTAGTGTAATGTGTGTATGAGTAAGTGTGGGCCATTATCGGCTGCTGTATGGATCATTTACAGACCAAAACATTACATTCAGGGTGTGTTTTGTGGAGGTAATGGACAATTGTGTCACGCTGCAGATTAATCCGGAGCAGAGGAATGCCACATGTCCCGAGGGTGAAGTGGCTCGATAATGATTAGGAGATACAAGCGGCGTCTGTGGTTTTAACGGAGAGCCGCCGTCCAATCGTAACCTTGAAAGTTCAGTCTCTACAGTTGTACCGTGGCACTTTCTTTGTAAAGTTTGAAGACAGGTGGAGAGCTGCAAAGGTGGTTAAGTTTGACTGTTCCATTAAAAAAAAGAAAATGTAAAGCTAAACCTAACTGCTGTAATTTTGTACAAATATGGAATTATTTTGTCACAATAGAAACATTTTCCCATTTTGTGGAATAATCTGACCACAGAATGCTGTTTTAACCCTAAATAGAAAAATCTTGCAAACTTGAAAGAAAGTCACTTTTATGACGGCAAACTGAGGGTGGAAACACAAAACAATCAACAAAACACTTTTATATATTTAAATTTGAATAATGCATAATTTTCTGCAGCAGCACTATTTTATAACTTACGGGTTTTGAAGGAACAGGAGCAAGACTGAGGGCTATGGGAAGACCACGGCAGTCCTCTGAGCTGTACATAAGCAATTTTATCTTTAAATAAAAGGGTAACTATCATGTGATACGAGGAGTTATATGATGTTTTATATGATGTTAAATATGATGACGTTGAGTGAACACGTGGTGCATGAGGAGGACGCTGTCAAAAAAGCCTTACACACATAAAAATCTGCAAAACAGGCCGAGAAAGCTGAGTGAGGGACCGCTGTATATGGCCAAAACAATTCCATCTGGTAGGAGCACTGGTGTGTACTAAGTGGTGCACACTGGGGTAGTCTTGCACAGCTTTTCCAATGTGGTTTTACTGCAAATGGTAAATAAATTCTTGAATCTTGATTTTTTTGAATGTGCTGGAAAACGGCAGCAAGTCCTAAGTAGCTCTCAAAAAGTTGTTTTGTTCTTCACAATTTTTATTTTTATTGCTTTTTTGAGCTTTTTGAGCTGTTGCTGCAGTACAGTGTTCATGGTTTTACACTGGTCCAGACCGGAGCAGAGAGGATTTATGGTCCGAACCAAGCGAATCAGGTGAAAATCCACTGGAGGAATGTTAACTTTTTGAAAAATGCTAACAAAACATTTAGTATTTTACTTTGGACTAGAGCAGAGAAAATGGTCCGAACCAAGCGGCTACTCCATCTTTTGACCTGTCCTGCTCCACCCAGAGGCTACTCCACCTCTGCTGCTGTGACCCGTCCTGCTCCACCCAGAGGCTACTCCACCTCTGCTGCTGTGACCCGTCCTGCTCCACCCAGAGGCTACTCCACCTCTGCTGCTGTGACCCGTCCTGCTCCACCCAGAGGCTACTCCACCTCTGCTGCTGTGACCCGTCCTGCTCCACCCAGAGGCTATTCCACCTCTGCTGCTGTGACCCGTCCTGCTCCACCCAGAGGCTACTCCACCTCTGCTGCTGTGACCCGTCCTGCTCCACCCAGAGGCTACTCCACCTCTGCTGCTGTGACCCGTCCTGCTCCACCCAGAGGCTACTCCACCTCTGCTGCTGTGACCTGAAGGGCTGTTGCTGATTATTACTATTGTTAGCTTTTTAGAATGATCAATTTTTTTATTTATTTTTTGCTGCTACTGGACGTCTGAATTTCTCTTACAGGGATCAATAAAGTATCTATCTATCTCTGTCTGGGTGCATGAACTTTCCAGCACAATTGCACATCCAAACAAAATAGGAAAATAAGGAACAAGTGATGGAATGTGAAAAACAACTCATAATGCTTCTAAGGCTCTCATTTAGTTTTAATTTCTGCAGAGAAGACGTGTTTGTGTCACATGGATCAGTAATGACAGGATTATTGATCAATGAGGGAGCTCACCTGCACTGGCCGGCCGCTGCGGCAGCCCAGGTGACACCGTGTTCCTCTGGAGAGACGGTTGCTGCGGCGACAGGAGGTGGGTATCCGTGAGCGACGACGAAGTCACGTAGGAGGTAGTTACCAGGGCGTTGCCAGGGTTACTGAACTGCAGCGTGCTCGGGTTGGACGCCTGGACCGTCACTGGCATCGTGAACGTCTGAGGCGGAGCGGTCGACTGCTGCAGTGGACACAACGGCTCAAGTTAAAGCTGGGATACTTAACTTTAAAACCACAGAAAAAAACACATTATTTAAGACGATCCACGTTGCTCGTTTCTCTCTCTCCAAACAGTTTGGTTCCATCACTAGCTTTGACAAGTTATTTTTGGCCTCAGCCTTTTTAGACAAAGAGAAAAGATCAACCCAAAGAGTCAAAAAGTGACACTTGAAGCTCCCAACAGAAGAGTGTCGTCTTCATCTTTTTAGACACTGTTTTATCTTTTGCATATTTGAGCCCCGTGAGTCACAAGATGTGATCGAGACCAAAATAGATACATGTGAAAACTAGTGATAACCAAATCATTTTGAGAGCGAGAAACTAAGAAATGGTTTTATTACATAATTCCATTTTTTAGTGGTTTGAAAGTTTGGTAGTTTGGCGACAGTGGCTCTGTTGGTAGCGCATTGGCCTTTGAGAGTGAAGGTCGCAGGTTCGATCAATGAGACGTTCTCCACCGACTCCCACTGATGTCTGCTGTCGTTGTGTCAATGGGCAAGACACTTAACCCCACTTTGCCTGAAGCCCCCGCTGAAAGATCAAGGCTATACTCTCACTGACAGAGCAGCCATCCTCCTGTGGACTCCCCACCTGCAGCAGGATCAGTGAGGGGCTGGTGCCCCTCCCCCAAACCCATAAATGGATTAAGGGGAAGAAGAAGATGGATGGATGAAAGTTAGGTACCCCAGAAAAGTTGGAACATACAGTATATTGCAGCCCTTGAACAGATAACTCAAACCGGGGTGGCAGATTTCAATATGTTTACATCCTAATATTAGGCCAACTATTATGTGTGAGTTATGAATGTAATCTTAAAAAGGGACATGATGTATAAAAATACTTCATCACAGCAGAGTTTCCTCATCGTACACTCATATTTGTAGCATGATTGACTCATGTTTCTGTTCTGCTGCACTCGAGGCTGCAGTGAGTGTTATGCTTTCACACATTGTATGACTAAAAAGTTCCGTTTGAGGTTAAAACATTTTGCATCGCCCCAAAAAAGTCAACTTGATATTACTATAACTGCTCGATTATTGAAGACATTTCTAGGAACATATCTATCGATCCGTATCAATCTAAGAGGACCTTTGTTAGTGTCACAGTGGGGAAATGTCGATGTTGCAGTGCGCGTACAGGACAGTAGTAAAAGATAAGTAGTTGTAAATGCTAACTACACAATATATAAAAGCATGGAGTTTCTGTCTGTGTGTTAATGGTGTTAATTAAGATGGATATGGGATTCTTCAAGTCAATACAATTAGACCGAATGTGACTTTGAGTCTAATGTTTTTCCACAGCAATTTTGCATTCACATCATGGAGCTCTCCCTATAGGAACACACAGGCACCAACACGCTTTGTGACCGCTGCACTACTACATATTCATCAAAATGCGTATTGTAAATAGTAAATAAGTCGTTGTTTTTATATTTATTAGCTGTGGGCATTTCACCATTCGCGCCACATACAGAGATGCACCCACAGAGAAGCACCATATACACATGAGGCTCAAGTTGGACCCTCCATAACTAATCGCTCACTCACTCATTCACATTCCTATTGTGCACGATTACCATGATTAAAACCCGTGTAGACACAGGGAGAACATGCAAACTCCCTCCAGACCTTCTTGCTGCACCATGCCATATAACTACTGGGTCTATTGCACAGTCTTCCTTCATTTGCTGCATTGTTTTAGTAATAATAGAACGTGCTTTTGAGTTGTGTAGCCAACATGAAAAATTACTGTTATGAAAGATATTCTAGCTTATTGGATTTTAATTTTTTTTCACTTACTCCGTAGCGTTTGAAGAGAACGTCCAGGTCCTCTGTGGTCTTTCTGAACTTGTCGTCGTTGAGTGGACTTTGATCGATCGAGTCTTCCCCATCGGGCTCTGGGCTGTCGCATCCGTTAAACCCTTTCTTTCTCAAAGTCTGTGAAAAAGAACAAAGACAACATCAAACCGTGTTCAAAGAGACCTGCCGTTTCAAGTTGACACACGTTTTGGATTAGCGTACTTTGTATATGTAGCTACAATGATAATAATATTTGGACACTTGAAGTTTTATCTAAAATACATACTGTAAATTAGTGTGTGTTTGGTTCGTCAGTATTTCCCAGCATTCAACTGTCCTTTGTACGGTTTCTTTCTATTGATTATTTTTTCTTAAAGCTGGGGTAACTTTGTTCTTTCATAAATAACACATAAGTCAGTAATCTTTGTGTATATAGCTTCTTTCACAGTCCAGAGTCACAAAGCACTTTACAATTGTTTTGTAGGGAATTTTGTCTCTCGCTCCACACAGAGATGGGAGCGAGGTGGTAGGCAAACCCGGAGCACCCGGAGGAAACCTATGCAGACACGGGGAGAACATACAAACTCCACTCAGAAAGGCCCTGGTCTGACCGGGATTCGAACCCAGGATCTTCTAGCTGAGAGGCGAAAGTGGTTATTAGAACATTATATTTGGGATCCTTACAAGAAAAGGCTGATTGACCTGTTTTAAAGCCAGGAGCTATGTTAATATTCTATTATAGATGTTTTATGGTTTGAAAGTGAGGTACCCCAGCTTTAATCTTTGATAAATGTATGTTTTGGCAGCTTTATATAAGCATTTTGGCACATGGTATAGAAAAAAATAGTCCACTTCCTGTCGTGATCCGCTGCTAAGAGCAAAAAAACATAACGCGTTTCACATGTACAATAACAAATCTCTACACAACAGTTTGATTTTATGGAATTATTTTTAACAATCTATTTTGTGGTTTTATAATATCTAAATACGGACAACATACATTGAGTTGGTTGATGGAAAAATACCGGGGGAAAAAAAGAAAGGATCCACACCACACCCTGGTTTCTTGGCTTCTGTGTTCACTGTGTTTCTATGGTAATGTGTTAATATATATATGTGTGTGTGTGTGTGTGTATGTGTGTACGTGGGTATATTTATATATGTGTGTAAGCAAGAATATATTTGTCAATGCATTATTTTCATTCTATTTATTATTTATTTTACTTACACTATTTGAAAAACATGTACAAAACCCATGTCTTGGTGCAAAAGCGGACATTTTAGGTGGCGCAAACGATGAAAAATGTATCTTTTTTAGTGTTTCGAAGTGTAAAAAGTGAATATTAATAAGAAAACATATATATAAAACGGTATTTTCACCTCTATGATGTCGGCGTTGGTCCGGCTCTCGTGCGGCTCGTTGTACTCTGTGTATTTGAGCAGGACTTTATCCATGTCGGTGCTGGCGTACTGGAACAACTTGTTGGCGTGGTTGAAAATGATGAGGGCGATTTCACAGTCACACAACACGCTGAGCTCGTAGGCTTTCTTCATCAAGCCAAACTTCCGCTTCGTGAATGTGACCTGCAGCAGAGACAGCGGAGACCTCAATAAGGCAACGGTCAAGAAAATCCATGAGAGCTGATGGAGATGAAAGAGGCCGTTTGTGACGAAGAGAAAGACACACATACAATATACTTAAAACACATTCAAAGGGACACACAGTAAGCCAATAAGAGCTACGCGTTGTGTTTGTTAAAGTAATAATGTTTTTATAATTTGCTTTTGTACTATATCTGTTCATGAACAATACAAAAATGGCTGAAATCCAACAAAGAATCAGGTTTTTAAATATTAATACTGATTTGTTTAAGTGGGAAAATCATAAAAAATCAAGTCTACCTCCGAAGCGTCATTTTGTTATTATCCTAAAAGTTCTATTTTGTTGGTTTCTGATAGATTATACGTTTTCGAAGCTTCACAAAAAACTGGAGACTTTGGTTGAAATCTGATTCAGCCGCTTCTTTCACACAAACAGTTTGGCAGCAGCGACACTGGTTTTATCACTGACACCGAGTCATGCTGTGAACGGGTGGCAGCCTCACGCCGAGAGGAACAAATGGGACTGGAAAAGGCAAATCCGGAGGAAAAAGTGGTTTAGGGATGCGGTTTGCTTCATCAGTAAAAAAAAAAAATAATCATAAATGTACACATATTGTAGGTGCTATGAGTATCTATCTATACACACACACATACTTTTTACAAAATCAAGATATGTTTTGTTGATCGCAAAACTTCAAACCGTGACCAGTATATTTGATTGAGGCATTGCAGAAGACAAATCCATAATAGATCTAATAAACAGAGATATAATACATACAGTGCTATATGGTAATATGGTCTTTTTGGGCTGTAGCTTTTTTAGGTGACATTGAACTATAACACAAACCCCAGAGGAAAGTGTGGCCTCCAAATGTGTCCACTGTCTGCCACATGTGAAGCTACCACCGTATACTCCAACTGAACTGGGAATTACCGAATAAAAACAGGTCCTTGTAAATGAGCATCACATATACTGCAATAAATACTGTAAAAGTGCAATGAGCATAAGTGCAGCTAAAAAAATCAGATTTTGATCAAAAATGTCTCAGGTTTGTAATGAAAATACATGTCTAGTTCCTGAACAGTTAAACCAGGGCTCAGGAACTTATGGCTCTTTTGATGATTTTTGTTATGGCTCTCAGACAAATCTTATTGGCATTAGCAGTAAAAATGTTTCATGTATTGGATTTCTTCAGTATAAAATTGTTATTAAACTAAGTAATACATTCAGAGTCTAATATTACTCAATAAATGTGTTGATCTTAAACAATCACAAATATTCACAGTGAAAAGAAAATGTGTATGGATTGGCTCCCACAGAAATGCATTTTAAAATATGATACTTTTTTATCTCTCCCAGCACCTCTGACTCAAACAGTTTCATAAATCACTTTTGATTAGTAATAAAACATACTTTTAATTGATCTAGTTACATTAATCTTTAGGTTTCAGCCACATGAGGCTTATACATTCAAGTTGATATTGAGTACTACCCTGCCTTTGTATTCGTAATAATCAACTTCAATAAGAATACAGTACAGCAGTGACAACTCTCCAAACAGAGGCAGTTGTATTAGTCGTAAATCTCACCTGCTTGTTTCTTTCGTCCGTGATTCGTTGGATCTGGATCTTTTTCCTGCCCATGGTGCTTTCCGCTGTGAGGCTAAACGCTGAAGTCAATGGAGTGGAGTAGAAACGCCTTTCCCAGCGGTAAAGGGGAGAAGTGTCAACCTCGAAAACCTCTTCAGAGCGGTCCAAAAACAGTCAGACAGTGGTGCGTTCCAGGACACACACACATTTCTTGTTCGGCGAGGCTTGAGCGGAGGAAGTTTTGAGAGGGGCCGAGTCCACCAGGCTTCCTGCAGCTGCTGTGGTCAGGAGCGGGTCCGACTCCTGCAGAAGAGACAGACCTTTGAGCACACACCAAAGAGGATGTCGTTCCTTGTGAGAGGAAACGACCTGACAACTGCACATGCAACTGCTATTGTCCTGCAGTGGGGGATTGAGCTGACAAGAAACATATACAGCTGTGGTTCTCGCCCTTTGAAGAAGACACATTTTGTATTCACGGCATAAAAATCTTGCAATAAAAGATCATATTGGAGCTAATTTATAGGGATGCAAATCTGATACACAGTGGTTAGTTTTGCCATTGATTTTTTAGAGAAGGATTTTGTTCATATTTGGAAATGGGAAAACTCCATTGAACAACTACAGAAGCATTTCAACAAATCATTTCAACTCTATTTCAATGCATGCTTTTGACCATTTAACCCGGTAGTTTCATGTCAAAGAAGTTCATTTAAAAAAATGTATATTCCAAAAGCTCCTCGTCTTGGCATAACCACCACCAGTAAGATCTGCTCGAGGAGAATAGGATTTATTTTCGCCCAATCAGTGAGCAGTGAGGGTGCTCTAGACCAAACTACATAAAAACAATGATCAATTCTGACTGAGAAAAACTGCATCTATAAAAGCCATAAATACTTGTTGACAGAGCACCTCCATTAAACAAGATATTACAGGTGGATAATGGCAGATTAACCTTTCGGAAAATTGTCTGAGAATTTCATGCAGCAACAAGAACATGCCCGTACATTAACTCAGACTGTATCATATCATTACTCATTACACCCGAGGACAATACACACTCATTCAGAGGCTACAACACTGCTGCAAAAATGTATTGGATAACTCAGGAATTGTAAATATTCAACATAATTCAATATAATTTGCATTTATTACTGTATCTGGGCTGTGATGTCAAACAATCCCTGAACCAAACCATAGACTGTAAATATCAACGGATGTAGTCACGCCTATCTCCGCCGTTGAAACTAATGTCCCACCTTTTGCCTTCAATGGGGCTTTTTCAAGATGGCCGCGGGGCAGGAAAATGTGAAAAACGCATTTGCGCATGCGTTAGCTGAACTAGCCCCATTAATTTAACAAGTTCATTCAGTCCACAGCGGCTAAACTAGACTGGTCCAAAAGAAAATAAATACTCCTTAATTATAGACAGCATCTGTTGAGTCAAGAGCAACTTTTGGACCATCCTGTAAAGCCATTTTCAAGGAGAGAAAACGCCAGAGAAAAAGCATTGGGTAATTCTGATTCCGGGTACACCCCCACCAGCAAGGAGTTCAACATTTGTTTTTAGAAGCAGAAACTTCTCATTCTATGTCAGATATTGAGATTAGCATGGATGGAGCTAAAAACCAACTCCAGGCGTATTATTGGGTATGTATGGTAAAAAGCTCTAGCAAACGGATAAGTAATATACACATTCCAAAAATAAGACAAAAAAAACATATACCGGCATTGATAAAAAATAAAAATATATTGGAAATTGACAAAATAAAACAACATAATAAGAAAGTCTAAAAATCCATTCAAACTTGGCTCTTTGTACGACTTTGGACCATAAATGTTTTCCTCTGAAGCTCACCCATTATTTATTCATGTTATTAATGCTTTACCAATAAGTCGGAGCCACTGAAGCATCTGTGACCTTTACTTCTCAATTACTGCATAGAGTCGTTTCAACTCTTTCCAGACAAAACTCAGAAGAGCTTTCTCAGTCTTGACCCTCGACTGACAACTTTATCCAGTGAGATTGTTGTGAAAGGGAATGGAAAAAGTGAAGAATTGTCCGTATGTTATAAGACTTGGACTTAAGATCCTTCCCCCAAAGCCAGAGCTCAACACTTCGGGAGTTGCCAGCTTGAAAATAAATCAAAGTTGTAACATTATCCAGACAATTACAGGCACCAGTCACAAAACCTGCGGCCAAATGTGACGTCGGCCGCCTGATCTTTTACTCTCAAATCCAAATCATCAGTTTAGGCAAGGCAAGTTTATTTGTACAGCACAATTCATACAAAAGGCAACTCAAAGTGCTGAACAAATAATCACATACTGTACATTACAAAGAAAGATAAAAAATATATAATCCCTCAGTTGTAGCACAGTTAAACAGAACTGTCTTTAACCTGGTTTTAAACATTGTCAGAGAGGAGGCCTGTCTCACATCTTCAGGAAGACTGTTCCAGATTTTAGCAGCATGAATCTGAAAAGCAGCCTCCCCATGTTTAGTTCTGACTCTGGGCACTAACAGGAGTCCAGTCCCTGTGCTCCTCAGAGTCCGGGCTGGTTCATATGGGACTAACATGTCACTAATATATTTTGGTGCGAGGCCATGGAGAGACTTGTAACAAGCAGAGCTGTTTACAATAGTTTAAATACTATAATTGTCGTTTTCAGACGCATCACTGATAATATTAGATTCAACTTCAATCTGCTGTGAAATTTGTAGGTTTTGTTGAAAGCCATGATTGTTTTGTGACTGAGGGCTTTGTCTAGTTGCGGTTATTGCGCTTGTAGTTATTGTAATAACAATACAATATTTTATAATATCATATTATACAGAGATTTTGTGTGTAAACAGGAAGTGATGATAGAAGACCTCATTCACATTTTGAGATAATCCGTGATGTTGGCGCTTCTAGTTTTCATAGAAATGTCGGGTTGGGTGTAATCTTTCATAATATGCATTAAACTTGTATATTTTGACATTTCAAGTATGTGACAGTACAAATGTATATATATATATATTTTTTTTAAGCGTTCAATAAAATATAAATAATTACATCACCCTCAAAAAATGAAACAAAATTAAACTGACAGAGTATTAAGTATTACATAAAATTATTAAATTAAACTAAATATATTATGTTCCTGCATTCATGATGGCGATTTTCAAACTCCAGAAAGTGACAGTCGCTTTAACGAAACTAAACTCAGCAATGAATGCCTGCGCTGCCCCCTGGAGTCTGGGGGGGCGCGAAAAACCAATGTATCTATAAAATAATTTTAAAGATTGAAAGATACATTGCTCCACAGCCATTTACATCGTCATAAACAGTGAATCCTAAACACAATAATAATGAAGAGAAAACATTCTTCAGCCCAGCAGTTTACAATATACTGAGTAGTCATTGCCCTTGGTCTGATTTTGTCCAACCTGCTGTTCTTATCATTGTCAGAGCCACACATTAAGTTCAGAGCAACAACAACACTGATAAAATGTAAAGTGCATGAACTTCAAAAAACAAAAACCCAGAGCAAGTATTCATAGAAATAAATGATATCTATACTCATATTCTGTAAGAGTACGGGTAATAATTTGGTCAAAACACCTTTCTTGATAATAAACACAGATGCAAATGAACAGATAAACACAGTCTCCATCTTTCTCTGTCCTTCAAGAATAAACGTTTACTTTCTCTATTGTTATTATAAAAGAATAATATGATGGAACCGTTTGAAACCCCGCTGCATCCAGACCTCAACCTCCTGCAGCCCTCCGCTAAATTGAGTTTGTGACCCCTGCTGCTAACCTACTGAATGTGTTTATAGAAAAAGGCATTCCACACTTGATTTTGAACGCCGGGAAAGTATCTAATCAATCAATTCAGAGAGTAGCCACCTCCTCAGCCACAAACCACTGGGCCACACATGATATTAGTGTAACTACAGCCACAGTGTTGCTCAGTACGGATCAATCATTCTCAAAAGGCACTTAATAATAACTATTTCTTGCCCCAGGGTTATAGTGTATGAATAACAAAACAATAATCAGGTTTTAGTAGCTAATGGTTGTGTAAGAAGAGTGACGGTCACAATCTCCCATCAGGGGCCTCGGAGCAAAATGTCCACAAACAAGATTAGCCAATGGGATGGGAGGCAAGAATGTCTTATTTTTTAAAGTAAGATCTCACCTGGAATGCCAAGAAAGTGTCTGTATCATTTTAACATATCTATATCAGACCCAGTCATTTTTTTTTCAAAGTAGAACACAATGTATGAGGATGTATTTGTATATAAAAGTCTATATATACTGTATACATTTCTCATACACGCCCAAATCTTGAGAAATGAATTGTTCAAGATTCAAGAATTTATTTGCCATTTGCAGTAAAACCCCATTGGAAAAACTGTGCAAGACTTCCCAAGTGTGCACCAGAGAGCTCTTGCCACGGCGCCATATTTCCGGCACTATGCGAAATTGTATATTATCTTCATTTTTATTCTATTGTCCCATACACAGTACATGTTTTGAGATCTAGACCAGTCACCAGACAAGGAGACAGTATCTTTGAACAGCTTTCACCATGTCTTGACTTCTACCATTGTAATGTGCGTGCCTAGCTGCATACATCTACGGTTTTGCTGTTTTTTTATGGCTTGATCTGGCCATGATACCTCTCCCTGAATGCCCTTTACTTCGTGGAAGCCTCCTCATTACAGTAATTGACACATCCATCCCTCGTCTCGGCCCTTGAGGCGTTGATGGCTCAATTAGGAGCTGACCAGGGGACTGATTGGAGGCAAAAATAATGAGGTTTTCTCTGAGACAAAAATTGAAAATATGTGGCGTTATATTCTATACATCAAGTTAAATCTAAACAAAATGCACAAAAGCAATCACTAACCCATGCATTTTTTTTTCAAACAAGTCATCAGCGTTGTTGCAATTGTTGGATAATCTCACAGAGAAATGGCAATCAGCCCCAGAGTACGGCCATAGTCTGTTTTGGAGTAGTGTAATTAGTGGCGCTGACCTTTCGCAGGATTATGCATTGGCCAATGAAATGTGACAAAGCAGTGAGATAAATGGTCCAAGAGGCTGCAACGCTTCATGCCTTTAGGGGTTTCCACTGTGAACGCCCCAAAAAGAAGGGTCCACAGCAAATGAGCGCCGTTGAAAGGCACCGTGGGAAACAAAAACCAAAACTGAACATTGATCCCGCTGTGACAAATGTGCTGTCCTCAAGTCGGCCTACTGTACAGCGTAAACAGCAGAAAATAGAGTTTAAAAAAAAGTTCAGTGCGTAACATAGATCAGTGTTTTTCAACCAGTGGGCCGTGGTGCATTAGTGTGCCTTGAGATGTTGTTTGGTGTGCCTTGAGAAATATACCATTATCACATAAATGGTCAAAATAATGTGAAAAGAAAATAATGAGAGAAGATTAGAAAGATTGTTTGCACTTGTGTTTCTATATGTATCTACTTTAATTAGTTTGACTTTGGTTGTCATTCTATCAGTTTCAGCTGGTGGTGTGTGACGGGTCTCAAAAAGGTAGGGAAACAATGACATAGAAATGGAAGGTCTATGCATTATCTTGCCTTATTGTGCATTATACACATGACCACACAACACCATTGAAATGTGGTTACGATAACTATGACTGCTGTATACAGGTGAAACTCTAGGATTGACTCACAGCTTGTAAAAACCTCAAATAAGTAAGTAATCTTTAATTATATAGCGCCATTCACAGACCAGAGTCACAAAGCACTTTACAATTGTTGTGGGCATTTGTCTCCCACTCCACACATAGGAGCGAAGTCACCATACAGGAGGAACATGCTGGACCTATTGTACATGTTTATAAGGGTAGGAAAAACCAGAGCACCCGGAGGAAACCTATGCAGACACAGGAGAACAAACAAACCCACTAAGAAAGGGATTAGAACCCAGGACTGAAAAACATGAGTGGATAAAATAATAAAACATTTGAGAAATTTCTTAAAAAGGGTCTGAAATCATCAATTATGAATATTTATAACAAGCTAAAGAATGACATTTGTCTATTTGCATGTATTGAGACTAACAAATTCCAAGTTGAAATCAGAAAAACATAAACTTTTGAACAAAATTTAAATTTCCTGAGTTTTGCTTTTGATATTTTAACTTTACCATTACTAAACCAGTTTTCTCATAGTAATAATCTAATTGCACCTTGGTTTTGTGGTCGTAAAGACTTTATGAAAATGTGTTGAGTAAATAAGAAAGTATGATCTTTCTGCAAACACCGGACTTAAATCCAAATCAATGCAACACACACACACACACACACAAGCTTTTACTCTTGTCTGTCTCATGAATCATTTATCTGAAGGCAGCACATGGCATAAGATATTCACAAGTTAATCTGACATTTCACCAGATGTTGAGAAAGCTCCAACTTTTCACAGCCTCTGTCAAAAAGCACTGAATGTTACAGCCTTAATAAGACATGAAGAGTAGCATAGTGTACTGATAGTTTTATAACAACAATCCAAGCTTAGAATCTGCTCAATTGAAGCCAAAGAGTCCAGTCTAATAATTCTTGGGTATACATTAAACTACACTTGGTTTATAATAAATGCTCAGGGTCTATTTTGAATTAACTTTATCATTTATAGCCTTCAACTACATCAAATAGTTGACAGATCCAGGCATTACCAGGTTACTATTTGGATGTAGATGATGCCATGTTTTGCAAGCCTGGTTTATCAAAATGTACGTCTTTCTTCAAGCCTTATTAGGAACAACATCATAACTGCACAATATACTAAGTCACAAAGTTAGGAACAAAGGGCAGTGAATCTTAAGCAAGAATTATGTAGCTGTGCATAATGAATTAAATCCTTCCACATTGTATTAAGGCTGATTTAATGTATAGGAGTGTTGTAAGCCATTTGATTGCCTTTGAAGATTTTCATGAAGACAAATCACGAGTATTGTTAATGCCATACAGAATAGCAATAACGCATTCAAATGTTTCACAAAAGCATTCTTTCTATAAAGGCAAATCACTACAGCGAGGTCATGGAGGTATTTCTTGTTTGTTCGTTTGATAAAGCATGTGTCTAACCTGCCACCAACACTTCACTCCGTTTTGTAGCTGTGCATGTGGACACAATCCGATTTCCCTGGAATTTGAAACCATTTGAATAGGTCTAGGTTATATTTTGCATATAGTGGGAGCATAGCTGTAATATGCATGACACTGTAATAATAATCATGGCATATGGGGCACTATAGCCTCGACTACAGTAGGCCCGCGGAAGGACGCACGCACAGGTAGAGACGGGTTTAGCGTTTTGACGGCAGACTTGTGCAGTCTAATCACATCTTTAAGTACTGATTTACCAGCGCAGCTATCTGCACACTGTGGGCAACTCGATCGGGTTGAATTTCAGGGCAACAATCCGAGTGACTGTAGCAGCAGCAGCAGCAGCAGCAGCAGTACAGGCCATTTCACAATTTTCTAGACTACGCCGCCAGCCATTGCCTTCTTCTTTGACAATCCGCGGCGAGATGAGCTAAAAGCAATCCAGAAACACATGTCTCATTCAATTTAAAGCTGCCATCCCATGTGCTGCATTTAAATACATGTCCTTGTTAATACTTTTTTCCATATTTAAATAATTACTAGCTTATGCGCGAGGGGAAAAAGACGCAGGAAGCGAATGTAATGTATCACTCCACTTACCCTGGGATATTGCTGATAAAAGCCGAAAATAGCCTTGCCACGACTTGCTCAGAAGGCTACCGCACTGAACTAAAAAGTACGCATTAATCACGCTCCGACTGCGCTTTTGTGTTAAATCCGAGGCATTTTATTCCCATTTAGTGTTGAAGTAACTCTACTGTCCACCCAGGCGATCACACAGCGAACACAGTGTAGCGCCGACGTCAGTGACAAGCGCGGGGACTGACAAGCAGCGCAGCCAATGAGGGGCCGAGACGCTGAGCCCGTGTCCAATGGGAGGCGGCGTGGCTGAAGTGGGCGGGACTGCGGGCGAGGACATGACGGAGGTGACGGCCATGTTGAGTGGTGGTGTTTGTATCCCTCCGCCTCAGTATTTACCTTTTGCATGATTTTGCATGTGTGGAAAATGTCACACTGAAGCCTGTCCCTGATTTTCCTGTCACACACAAGCATCCGGAGAGTTTGAATCATTTTGTTTGGTGTTTTTTAATCACCACTGTAGCATTTGTGAACCACCACACACATAGCAGTCTGTTGCAGTTTGTTATGTTAGCTGGATGTGGTGTTTGGAGATTAAAATGACATTCCACAGTCAATTATGGCATTTATGTGTCTCAAGTAAAAAAATCAGATAATACTACAGTAATTACACATCGTAGTAAAAGGATAAATATATGTTTATAATAATACATGGATAGTAATACAAATGAATATTCAGGGCAAAATCAGGTGTTATGCTTTGAAATACACTAAAAAGAACACATTTCTCATTCTTTTACATGCAAGAGAAGAGAACCTTTTTTTGTCCCATAGTGCGTACATTTCAGTGTTGCTGCTCTAATACAGGACCATAGGACACAAAGTAAACATAGATAAGATAACTGTAAATGCTTCTTCAATTTGGTTTTAGACCTGTACTATCAACATGAAATTGATTCCAAATTACTCCTGCCTTTAGCTGTCTCCATTGTTTTATGGCTTTAAGATTAATTGTGTTTTATGCGGATGACACAGTATGTTGGTGTGAACAGTAGTCCTCTGAGTGTCCTCTGAGCTGAAGGTTGGTCCATCGGCTCTCGCTCCTGACAAACACATCATTAGTTGACAGGTGGTTGGCAGGTGTGAATCCAGAGCCCATTGGTGAATGCTGTTGTGGTGTCCTTTGGCAAGACACTTCCACCTCACCCACAATGTCTGCAAACACTGATTGATCTCTGGGGGTGAACTTCAGGTGTCCAGCAACAAAAAAACATCCATCAGTACACATACATTTATACATATTTCCGAAAAAGTTACTAACAATAGTATTAAAGGGGTCATGTTGTGATCAGAAATGTCTTGTATTGAATATAGCTGAAGGGACAGATGATTAAAACGTTTTGTTCAGCAGTGTAGTGAGAGAGGCCTGTTATGAGGGTTACTCCTCTAAGATCCTCCACCCAGTCACTTTCTCTCAAGGTCAAACTGCCTCCCAAACATACAATCCAATACAAAAACATTGTCTACATCTATCTACTCCTGACTCATGAAATAAGTGCAGCATCTTTTTTTGCCTGCGATGACCAGTACCAAGATTGGATTTATTTTCCACATTGGATTGACTGTGCAAAAGCACCCAGTGTTCAATGTGAGACATTCAAAAACATAACGAGAAGAACACATTCAGGATCTGCCATTTCTCTCACTCCACCAGCAGGCACCAGCTCCTTGTACTCTGCTTCTTCCCTGCTTTGCAACAGCTGCACCATCAGAGAACCACCAAAGTGGCATCATGCCACATGCATTTACAGGCAGTAGATTGAGGAAAGAAAGGGGACCGGAAGTGTTGATCACTGCTGACTCCCAGATCACAAAATGTGACGTCCCAAAGACCTCACTGTAGTAGATCAAAGTGATACCATCAGGGTCCATGCAATCATCACCAGCTTCTCCCTCACAAGAGGCTGGATGGTGTTAAAGACACCAGGGGCAGCAGCTCATGGAGCAGAATCCCTGTTTCTGAAGCCCTTTATGCCCTTCCTCATGTTCTGCAGTTGCTCTTCAGGTTGTATTTTGTACTTTCTTAATGTCCGCTTTAAGTTATGTTGGTTCATTCCAATCACCTGCCAAAAAAGTAAAACATATGTTTATTGTCCGTCTTGATCTTGTTCATGATGTAGAAACATGGAACAGTTCTTTTATTTTAGCGCTGCAGCAGATGTATGTGAGTAATTTGTGACAAAGTCCATTACTTTGTTGGGGCTGAATCATGTTTCATGACATCAAACATTCTCCAATATATCAGACTTTGTAGTTATATTCTTTGATCAAAATAAGCTATCAAAATGATCCCTGACCACATACGCAACATAAATGAATCAAGGCCTGGATTATTTAGACTTTAATTCATCTTAAACATCCAGTGCTTCATTACACTGCTTTACAAAGGTCATCTTGTTTTACTTTGGTAACTTGAAGCGGGAACAGGTGCTGGTCATAAAAGTCAGACACGCAAATTGTTTGAATAATTGTTGACACTTCTAGGACAGATGCATCCAGTGTGTAAAGATAGTACTGTCTGAGGTTTGAATTTGTTTATTAGGAAGAGTAGGATGAGAAAACTCAGCATGAGGGTAAATGTATGTAACCCTTAACGGACAGCTGATATTCTGCTGAAGGCAAAAAGAAGCTGAAAGATTATTGTTTTAACTGGTCTCAACTTTATTTAATGATGAGATGTTTTATCACTGTTTACTTGTTTTGGACAAAGTTTCGTAAATTCCACAATGATCTCTGAGAATGCAAACATTACCTCATGTTAGCATGCTTTTGACTTAACTGTTAACTTCCATGTCAGGACAGTCAGGACTCATTTTTCAATCCATTCAGAGTCCAGGGGTGTTAAACCGGTTCCAGAAAAGGTCGGTGTGGGTGCAGGTTTTAGCTCTAACACAAGCAAATCTATAACACAAGCACAAATCTTCAGGTTAAAACCAGTGGGGGCGGGTCCCGGGTCCAAATGTCCATGATCACATTTGTTGACAAGCTGCAATCTCACTCCGGGCCGGTGGGGGTGTACCTGGAATAAGAATTACCCAATGCTTTTGTATGGCATTTTATTTCCTCTCGAAAACGTCTTTACAGAATGGTCTAGAAGTCGCTCTTGGTTCAAGGCAACGCTCCAGATGCTATTGATGCTGAGGGGAGTATATTTTTTGGACCAGTCTAGTTTATCCGCTGTGGACTTTTGAATTCACTCAATAGATGAATGGGGCTAGTGTCGGCAAACTTGCGCAAATGCGTTTTTTCACATTTTTCTTTGTGAACTCACATTTTGAAAAGCCCAAGAAGGCAAAGGTGGTGGCACATAAGTTTCAATTACAGAGATAGGTGTGACGACATCCATTAATATTTACAGTCTATGGTTAAAACTGTACTCACCTGAGGAATAGATTGGAGTCTGGTGTGCTCCTGCTTTGGTTGGAACTAAAATCTTTAGGCACAGGGTCTGGACTCCTGATTTAAACAATACACTTGTGGCCTATACTAAACTAAGTTACTAACTAGTAAAACAACAGCGCTCATTGCGTAAAATCAAGTCCGGTGTATTTCCCTGCATTTCCTCATGTTAACTCTCTCTGTGGGATACTCTACCACAGTAAATACACAAACATTGGCTGCTATAACGGCTGCAGGGCTCAAAGAACTTGATAAAAGTAGTGACTTACAGCAACACTTTGGAAACCCCTGAAACTATCCTTGCGTCGACTCTACATTCAGAGACAAAAAGTTACCAGCTGAATTTTGTTTAATTATTATTCAATTATAGAGAAAGACAGTTACAAATGACAGATGTGACCCCAGGATTATTGAAAAACCTTTGGAAGATTTGGATAAGGTAAACATCTCTCAATGTATCTGGGTTGGCTGCACCCTGTACTTTTGAATCTCTCCCTGCTGTTGTCCCAATAATAACATTTCAAATAAAATGTTCATAAGCCCGACTTAAATAAAACCAAAACTCAACACCATTGTTGATACGTGCAGTTCTACCAGTTATAAATCAACAATGTTTTAAATGATGAAGATAGATATAATGATGTACAGTGGGGCAAAAAAGTATTTAGTCAGCCACCGATGGTGCAAGTTCTCCCACTTAAAATAATGACAGAGGTCTGTAATGTTCATCATAGGTACACTTTAACTGTGAGAGACAGAATGTGAAAAAAAATCCAGGAATTCACATTGTAGGATTTTTAAAGAATTTATTTGTAAATTATGGTGGAAAATAAGTATTTGGAGGCTATGCTCACACTCAGAGAGCAGCCGTCCTCCTGTGGACTCACCACCTGCAGAGGGTCAGTGAGGGGCTGGTGCTATGAGACTTGGGTGGCATCTCTGACTGCCACCCCCCTGACCCAGAAATGGATTAAAGGGTAGAAAATGGATGGATGGAATAAGTATTTGGTCACTTCAAAACAAGGAAGATCTCTGGCTCTCACAGACCTGTAACTTCTTCTTTAAGAAGCTCTTCTGTCCTCCACTCGTTACCTGTATTAATGGCACCTGTTTGAACTTGTTATCTGTATAAAAGATAGCCCAAATGTAGCCCAAAACGATATTTCAACCACTGATAATCTCCCTCAATCTGGGGCTCCATCATGATCATGAGAACGGTGATCAAAAATCCCAGAACCACATGGGGGGACCTGGTGAATGACCTGCAGAGAGCTGGGACCAAAGTAACAAAGGTTACCATCAGTAAAACACTACGACGACAGGGAATCAAATCCTGCAGTGCCAGACGTGTCCCCCTGCTGAAGCCAGTGCATGTCCAGGCCCGTCTGAAGACCAGAGAGCACATGGATGATACAGCAGAGGATTGGGAGAATGTCATGTGGTCAGATGAAACCAAAGTACAACTGTTTGTAGTGCTTCACATCGGCAACATTTAAAGGCAATTAAAAAACAATTTTAAAACAGACTGTAAAAACAAATACAAAAGACAGTTTAAGAAAATGAATAAATATATACATCAAAAATACATTTATGATCCGATTTCTTGATGATCGGTCGTAGGCACGGCTGAAAAGAACCGTTTTCAGCCTGGACTTGAACATAGCTAAAGAAGGAGCCTGTCTCACACCTTCGGGAAGACTGTTCCAGATTCTAGGTGCATAGGTCTGGAACGCTGCCTCCCCATGTCTAGTCCCGACTCTGGGCACTAACAGGAGGCCTGTCCCCGCGCTCCTCAGAGTTCGAGCGGGCTCGTACGGTACCAGCATGTTGCATATGTATTTTGGTGCGAGACCACGGAGAGACTTATACACAAGGAGAGCTGATTTAAAATCTATTCTC